TTGGGTTCCATAGTAATTATTGACTTCCCATAACAACCAGTACCTCACATAGCAACCATTGACTTTGCATTGCAACCATAGTCTTCTTTAGCACCCAGTGACTTTCAATAGCATCCAGTGACTTACCATAGCAATCATTCACTTTATATAGCAACCATTGACTTCTTTAATACCCAATGCCTTGCCATAGCAACCATGGCCTTTCTTTAGCAACCAGAGCCTTTTAGTGGCAACCATTGACTTTTTAAAGCAACCAGTGACCATTATTGCAACCATTGACTTTCCATAGCAACCATAAAATTACATAGCAACAATTTGCTTTTCATAGCAATCAGTGACTTCCAAAGCAACCGTCGACTTCCATTGCAATCAGTGGCTTTACATAGCAACCATTGACTTCCCATAGCAACCAGTGCCTCATATAGTATCCATTGACTATAGACCTCTTTAACACTCAATGACTTTCCATAGCATCCAGTGACTTGCCATAGCAACCATTGACTCTGTATAGAAACCATTGACTTTCCATTACAACCAGTGAATTCTATTGCAACCATTGACTTTCCATAGCAACCATTAACTTCCATAGCAACTACAGAAGTTCCGTAACAACCATATATTTCCTTAGCAACTGGTGACACTCTACAGCAACTGTTGATATCCATAGCAAACAATAAACTTCAAATAGCAATAAGTGACTCTCATAGTAACCACTGACTTTCCATAAAACCATTGACTTTCCATAGCAACTGATGACTCCCATAGCAACCATTTACTTTTCATAACAACCATTGACTTCCATAGCAACCATTGACTTACATAGCAACCAGTGACTTCCATAGCAACCAGTGACTTCCATAGCAAACATTAAATTTTTACATAGCAACCAGTGACTTCCATAAAGAACATTGATTTTCCACAGCAACAAGTAAATCTACCATTGAATTTTACAGCATTCACTGACTTCCAAAGAAACCATTGATTTTGTATAGCAACCAGTGACTTCTTTAGAAAATATTGTTTTCCCTTGGAAATATGAACCAGTAATGTTTTTACGTGTGCACTATTTCAGATACAAATATGAAATTTGAAATATCAGTTTACGATTTAGATTTTATATCAGATTTCGCTTATAGTTTACAATATTACTGGTTTCTTGTCATTAAGAGTATTTAAATTCAGGTAAGTGATATTAGGGCTTTCATGGCCCTCTTGTACAATCATGTGAACATGTTGTGCAATTTTTTTATAAATGATTTAATAGCTGGGAGTTTGTTTCTAGCAAGAGTGATGTTTGCTTTGCAATGATATGAGCACATTTTAAGGACATAATGATTCGAACCATTTTCTTTTTGATTTTATTGACCTGTTTATTGCATATGGATACACACTATATTAATCTTTGGTAGATTTTCTGCAAGTTCTGTGAGATGTAATTTAATTTGTGTCCACGATACTGAGTGTTGCAGCACAATACGGTAAAATACGGGTTGATAATTTCTAAATGTCCTGTATGTAGTAAGATGTAGTAAGATCGAGACTTTAGACTTGTATATGAAAATACATTTGTACATTTCTTCTTCTGTAAAATAATAATACCAAGACCTTAAATATTTGGCATGTAGCATTGCCAAGTAGACATCTACAAAAGTTATGTCATGCCCTTGGGGTCAAAAATGGTCCTGCCCTAGGGTTAACTTTTTTAAATTATACAGCCTGGAGAAATGACAAACTCAATAAGACCTTGTTACCGGCTTTATCCTTTCTAGCACTGTATCTCAGGTGAGTGATCCATGGCTGCTTTCATGTCCCTCTTGTTGTTAAGTGAACTACTTGAACTTTGAATGTTTATGAAGTTCTGAACTTCTTCAAGTGTTATAAAGACCAGAAGAAACAAGTTGAGGATAACTGATTGCAACTTAATATATAACACTGAGGATAAGATTATGATGGCTGAAAATATGCCAGCCATTAAAGAATAAAACCTTGCATTACTTAGAAGGTTCATTTCATTTAAAGGGAGACAATTAAGTTGCCATTAAATTTGTTGTTGTCATAAACTTTATGTAGTTGAAGAAAAAAGAACAAGAAAGGTCAAAATGTTATACATGCCTCTTCCCTTTTACTAAAATGGGTAGTAAGAATAAGTAACCAAATATCACAGAGAAACTGATTACATAATGATGTGTTTATGAATATGGAAAATGTACACAATTATCAATTTAAAATAGTAGGTTAACACAAATTTTAACTATCATTGTAATTTCTATGTATGTCCACCTCATCAGCATGTCATAAGTTGCATGGCAATATTGTTGGGAAAATATTTCTACATACAAGGTCAATGTAACCTTGACCTTTGATCCATTTGACATCAAAATGCTTAAGGATCATCTATTGGCCAAGACTAATGCACCCGTGAAGTTTGAAGGCCAAAACCCATGGAGCGTTTATTATTTGGTTGACACCATTTTGACATACAATGTCCATATTATCTTGACCTTTGACCCATTAATCCAAAACTAATAAGGGATCATCTACTGGACAAGACCACTGCATTAGAGAAGTTTGAGATGAGGACCCATTGGTTAAGACGTTATTGGTTGGAATTTGTTTTGTACATACAAGGTTAATGTGACCTTGACCTTTAACCCTAAAATGAATTCAATAGTTCTAGTGTGGTGAAAGTATTATTTACCTATTATGAACCTCTAAATAGAGGTATTGTTCTCACTAACCTTAACAAAAAATGTCTGTTCTAGAACATTGCCTTAAACGAACTGAACAATAACTTGGGGAGTCTGCTGAAATCAGATACCTTATTATATGTCACAAGGATGATTGTACTGGACTACTTTACCACAGATGATTGTACTAATGACTACTTAACCATAGATGATTGTACTGGACTACTTTACCACAGATGATTGTACTGGACCACTTAACCACAGATGATTGTACTGGACTACTTTACCACAGATGATTATACTGGACTACTTTACCACAGATGATTGTACTGGACTACTTTACCACAGATGATTGTACTGGACTACTTTACCATAGATGATTGTACTGGACTACTTTACCAAAGATGATTGTACTGGACTTCTTTACCACAGCTGATAATACTGGACTACTTTACTACAGATCATAATACTAGACTACTTTACCACAGATGATTGTACTTGACTACTTTACCACAGATGATTGTACTGGACTACTTTACCGCAGATGATTGTACTGGACTACTTTACCATCACATGATTGTACTTGACTACTTTACCACAGATGATTGTACTGGACTACTTAACCATAGATGATTGTACTGGACTACTTTACCACAGATGATTGTACTGGACTACTTTACCACAGATGATTGTACTGTACTACTTTACCACAGATGATTGTACTGGACTACTTTACCATAGATGATGTACTGGACTACTTTACCATAGATGATTGTACTGGACTACTTTACCACAGATGATAATACTGGACTACTTTACCACAGATGATTGTACTGGACTACTTTACCACAGATGATTGTACTTGACTACTTTACCATAGATGATTGTACTGGACTACTTTACCGCAGATGATAATACTGGACTACTTTACCAGAGATGATTGTACTTGACTACTTTACCACAGATGATTGTACTGGACTACTTTACCACAGATGATTCTACTGGACTACTTTACCATAGATGATTGTACTTGACTACTTTACCACAGATTATTGTACTGGACTTCTTTACCACAGATGATTATACTGGACTACTTTACCACAGATGATTGTACTGGACTACTTTTACCACAGATGATTGTACTTGACTACTTTACCACAGATGATTGTACTGGACTACTTTACCATAGATGATTGTCTGGACTACTTACCATAGATGATAATACTGGACTACTTTACCACAGATGATTGTACTGGACTACTTTACCACAGATGATTGTACTGGACTTCTTTACCACAGATGATTGTACTAGACTACTTTACCATAGATGATTGTACTGGACTACTTTACCAAAGATGATTGTACTGGACAACTTTACCACAGATGATAATACTGGACTTCTTTACCACAGATGATTGTACTAGACTACTTTACCATAGATGATTGTACTGGACTACTTTACCAAAGATGATTGTACTGGACTTCTTTACCACAGATGATAATACTGGACTACTTTACTACAGATGATTGTACTAGACTACTTTACCATAGATGATTGTACTGGACTACTTTACCACAGTTGATAATACTGGACTACTTTACCATAGATGATTGTACTGGACTACTTTACCACAGATGATAATACTGGACTACTTTACCACAGATGATTGTACTGGACTACTTTACCACAGATGATTGTACTGGACTACTTTACCACAGATGATTGTACTGGACTACTTTACCACAGATGATTGTACTGGACTACTTTACCAGAGATGATTGTACTGGACCACTTAACCACAGATGATTGTACTGGACTACTTTACCACAGATGGTTGTACTGGACTACTTTACCACAGATGATTGTACTGGACTACTTTACCAGAGATGATTGAACTGGACCACTTAACCACAGATGATTGTACTGGACCACTTAACCACAGATGATTGTACTGGACTACTTTACCACAGATGGTTGTACTGGACTACTTTACCACAGATGATTGTACTGGACTACTTTACCACAGATGATTGTACTGGACTACTTTACCAAATGACTTATTCATGTGTATTGAACACTTTTTTACCTTTGAATTTTCAATTAAGAGGTTATCAAATCTTATTAGGGGTGGACTGAACAAATGCTTATGGGAACATGCCTTTAAAGTATTTTAACGTCTTGTGTTTTTAGATAATACAGTAAATATATGTCTATTTTATTATGATATATTTATATCTTTGTTCTGTGCCTTTTTGCATCATCTCCTCATTTATAAGCCAATTAAAAACAAACAAAAAACAACAACAACAGCAACAAATGCAACATAACAAGCAAGCTTTATTCCAAACAGAATAATAGTTACATATATCAATTGTATCTCTAACATTTATCTTAAATGTTTTGCTCTATAAAAATAATATAGTTGTTAGATTTATTGAGGCAAAAAAAAAGTCAATATCTTATTATAAATTCATAAAAGCCATATTTTCATTTCTTGACAAAAAATCTATTTTAACAAACATGCAAAATGTCTATATTATCCATTAAATTGCTGGAATCTAAAGTGGACAGTTGTTCCTATAGTTTACGACTTTATGACAATTTGCTCACCATACAGTCGGGTCATGCTCTATAACTAAGCAACTTCATATTTTCATCTTGATATCTTAAACTGGATTTAGGACAGTGGCAAACAATTGAAGGTAAATAAGGCCATTTGACAAATTTATAGAGGACATATAATAATAAATAATACTAAATAAAGTCAACATTGAATCAACATTGCACCATGCCATGAATACAAGTATATGTACATCAATAAATAAAATCAAATAAATTGATAACAACCTGAGCAAAGTTCTGCTTTAAGCAATAATGAAAATTTTATTATCAATCAGATATCATTCCCTTAGAATTAATCAATTTATTTTCTTTACTATAATTAGGGTTGATTAATTTTTTCTTTGTTGTTAAATAAGTATCAATGATAACTGATATGGGAAACAGATATTTGTTCAATTTTACTTTTAGTAACATAATTGTTGCTTGTAAATTTACCATGCAATCTATAGTTCATTTCTGGACTCCTTCACAAATATATTACATGATACAAAACCCTTAAACCAAATGTCTCAAAAGTTTATGATAAAGTATTCTATTGTTATCAAATAAAAATGTATAGAATCATACAAATATTAGTCAAATACATTTATATGATTCACGAATTGAGCAGCAATATAGCCTCATTTAAACCATTTAGTCATAGAACCAAGGGCAGCTCCAAATGTTTGTAACAAAGGTGGTACTGTTTTAACTTTCAGCATTAGACTTCCTGCTTCAGCTTCAAATCCTTTATCTCTAAGCTGATTGGCCAATCTCTCTGCAGACATGTAGTCACATGTCTCCATATCTGGCTCCTGATTGGATAAAATATACTGAACAATGATTGGATAATGTGGTGTCGGCACTAGGTCAGGTACAAGGTTATGCTTAAGAATTAGGTTTATCAGTTCTGCTTCCTCATAAATCTGAAACATAAAAAAATATTTTAAATCTATTTAGAGTAAGAGACAATATCCTTGTGATAAAATATATTACATGTAAACAAAATTAAAAACAAAAGCTGTCAGATGGACAACCCAATCAACAATTCTCAGTGAAAGATTTTATCACAAAGGGGAATAATTCCATTAAATTCCTAGCTAGAGATATGGATCTTGGAAAGAAATAATAATGACTGCAAAGACATGTACAAAGTTTCAAGTGAATGCCATAAGTAGGGTAAGCCCATTATTATTGAAATCTCAATCTAACAAGAGCCCGGTTTGAGCCAGGTGATGCTCCCCAAATAGGTTTTGGACACAGGAAAGTACACCTCTTGTAGTTTCAGAGTTATGTCCCTGGAAAAAGTTCAAAGTGCAATAATTCCAAAATTAGGCAAGGCAGAGTTACTGTTCTTTGCACTGCACTTCTAATCAATGCGATCTATCAACCTACAAAGTTTCTTGTTGATATCTCGTATGGTTTCTGAGTTATGTCCCGGACAACTTCAAAATGTAACAAGAGCGATCAGTGATCACATGTGTCGCCTCATGATGGCCAATTTCATGTTGGGACAAGTTTTGTGACAGACGGACAGACAGACAGACAGGCAGTGCACAACTAGACTTGGTACTGATCATTCCTGTTAAGTTTAGATAAAATTGCACCAGTAGTTTATGAGGAGTAGTTCGGACAAGCTTTGGTGTATCTGGCAACACACAGAACAATAGCCCGGTTTGAGCCATGTGATGCTCCCCGAATAGGTTTTGGACACAGGAAAGTACACCTCTTGTAGTTTCAGAGTTATGTCCCTGGAAAAAGTTAAAAGTGCAATAATTCCAAAATAAGGCAAGGCAGAGTTACTGTTCTTTGCACTGCACTTCTAATCAATGTGATCTATCAAGCTACAAAGTTTCTTGTTGATATCTCTTATGGTTTCCGAGTTATGTCCCAGTAAAAATAAACAAAGGGCAATAACTCTAGAATTAGGCAAGGCAGAGTTATGATTCTTGTACACTGCACATCTACCCGTTGAGATATATCTACCTACAAAGTTTCATGTTGATATCTCTTATAGTTTTACAGCTATGTCCTGGACAAGATTTTTCTAAAAGGGGAGATAATTCAAAAATGAGGCTTAACAGAGTTATCGTTCTCTTACACTGCACTTTTACTCAATGAGATCTATCTACCTACAATGTTTCATCTTGATATCTCTTATAGTTTTAGAGTTATGTTCCGGACAAAGTTCAAAAAATTAAAATTAACAAACGGCAATTACTCCAAAATTAGGGAAAAAAGTGTTATTGGTCTTTTGCACTGCACATTTACCCATTTAGCTCTATTCACCTACAAAGTTTCATGTTGATATCTCTTATAATTTTAGAGTTATGTCCCTGACAAGATTTTTCTATAAGGGGAGATAATTCAAAAACCGGGCAAAATAGAGTAATGGTTCTTTGACACTGCACTCCCCATCAATGCCCTCTACCACTGTATGAAGTTTACACAAATTATCTCCAAAGGTTTTCAAGTTATGCTCCGGACAAGACAACGGATGGACAGACGGACGGACGGACAAGGCACCGACTATATGCTCCCCCGAAATTTTTCGGGGAGCATAAAAAAGCATTAGTGAATGCATTAAAACCACATATTGTCCAGTGAAATAATAAATCAAACAAACATATCAACATCAATCAAACATTGACTGTCATACAGTAAAACGCCAAATATAAAAACCCTGCCTCATAAGAAAATCAGTTAATCAACTTATCATGGGTTACCTGTGGTAAAGATGATAACAGTTCAATAGCTGTAGTATAAAGTTCTTTATGTTCAGTAATCAAAGCAAATTTAACAGCTTCTTTACTGTAACCATGGTCTATCATATCCTTATATACTGACTCTATATTCTGAAACAAGTGATGTACTGTAACATACAACATTTTCCTTTGATCATGGATCTTATCTAACCTGGAACATTTATTTACATGAAATACAGATAAAAACTTTAGGCTGTCACATTTTAAGCAATAGCTTTGACCCGATATGTTTTATGTTCAACTTATATTTACCAACTGTAAATTATTTAAAATATTGCAAGTTAAAATAATAAACAAACATTTTGCCACCTTCCATTACTGATGAAACATTATCACTTTAAATTTTTTTCAGTGTAAAATAAGAAGTAAATTAAGAAGCGGATGGGACGATACGGTAATAATTAAACAAAATACCTGATGAGAAAGTCCAGTTTTGGTTGATTTTACTGTCTCCAGGACAAGCAGCACGTTGTCATGACAACCACTGACTACCATACACTTAAACAAACTGCTCCATGGATTCTCTATGCTAAAATAAAACAGAAACCATTAACATTGTATATACTTTTTAGTTTTAGCTATACACATAACAATACACCTACAGATTTAAATGGATGATGATATATGATAACCACTGTAAGAATGTTACACTGGCTGCTGGTAAAGACTTAAATTTCTAGCTTGAGGGTAACTGTTTACAGTGTTGACAAGGCTCAGTTACCTGACAGCTAGATATTCCTGTCTGTAACAACAGCCAGTGTTTGATTCTTTTCCTTGTATATAACATATAATCATATTTTGGAATGACAACATCAAAACCAGTAATTTCATGTATCATATTTGTTCTTAAAGTTTACAACTTTGATCATAAAGCAAAATGATGTCAATATAAACATACTATTTATTCATAAAAGGTGCACAGGAATGACATCATTTAAATGGACATTACGTGTCTCACACATGGAGTGTAAGATCATTTTTTTCCAGCACTGGTGTAAACAGTAGGAAATCTTGTCTGATATGCCAGAAATGTGCAGAGTGTAATATAAGTGTTGTCATATAGAACCATCATCCATCAGTAAACTAGCTTAGCAGATTCCTTACATATATACATATTGATGAACATATACAGAGGTTAATGTAACATAATCAACACAAACATGCTATACTGATACATTTTGTAGGCTATGTATAGAATAAAATCATAAAATCAAAGTAATATGCACAAATGGCAATAAAAATTAGGAAACCCTAATTAAAAAAAAATAATTTATACTAGGTATGGTGCAAATATCACTCCTCCTAACCCTTGTACAATATAAGAAATAATGTGAAGATAATTTAATGATACAGGAATTAGCACAAGCAAAATGCTGTCATGCAACAATTGTATTGATTTTATAATTTAAATCGGATAAACTCTTACTTTAATTTGGAAAATGATGGCCATAACTTTAACAGACGACACAGTGCTGAAAACTCTGACTTCCCATTGTTATCTCCCTTTCCAGTGTCACATTGCTCGAGTAAATCGAGAAATAACTTGTGTCTAGATTGTGCAGACCCTATCTCTGTCTCTGTGACCTATAATAAAATAAACATCTAGAAATCTGGAAAATTATATCGTAAATGAAAAGACATGATCATAACTATTTTTATTCATGAGTTGAAATATTTTAATTTCAGCGTGTAAGTAATAAAAAGCTTTTAATTAAGTTACTTTGCTGCAAACCTGTTGGCTAAATGTGAAAAAAAAACAAAGTTAAGAGAAGAAAAATGGATAAGACAAAATTAGTGCTGTAACCTACAATCCTCTCTTGTTTAATGTTTATAATTCATAAACTTTAACCCTAAACATGCTGAATATCTTAAATGGACTTGTCCCACTTCCATTTTTGGGACTGTCCATTATCTTTTTAATATCAATTTAAATTTAAAATTTTCAAAATTAAAGGGGAATAGATTATTTGGGGGCTCAATATGGTGGCAAAATTTTTTGCTTTTGGGCCAGCCAAAGGGTTTAATTAATAGAAACCCAACTTTAACTAAATTTTTTAAAAACCTTTATAAACTAAAAAAAAAAACTATATAAATTTTTTAAACTATCGTATCTAAGTTTTGCTCAAAATCTTTTTTAAATAAAAATGGTAAGGACAGGTCCCCCAACGCCAATGTTTCATCTAAAACCCTGGTAAAAATATTTTTTACTAAATGGAAAAATTGGAAATCTAAAAAATAAAACAAAGGGGCCATAATTCTTTAAATTTGGTGCAGCAAAAATTTTTTTTACTACCATCTAAATTAGGTTGTTTCCATTTAAAAAAAAGAAAAAACCCCAAACATTAAACTTTACATAATTAAACAGATTCAATAAATTTTTACATCAATGGTTTAAAATTGGCTAGTGTGTGGGGAATGGAGTTTTCATTTTAGGTGAGTTTGCAATAAAAGTATTTCCATTAGAAGCAGATTTAGAACAATTGTTTCAAGTACACTTGCCAAAGGGTTTACATAAAGATTACTGTACCTTCTCTAGTATATGAAGGACATCAAGTCTAGGCTGTACATCTACTGATGAATCCGAGCAGAAAGGTCGCAGCTGACTCATCAAATCCTCTGAACTGATTAAGTCCCCACTGTAATATACATTTTGGTACCATAACCACAATGAAAACTCCTCTTTCCATGTAAAATTCAAATTGTTACAAATAGTTCTCTATTTATAAGTAAATTTTTTATCAACATGTAGCTTAATGATGTTACCTTAATTAATTAAGCAATTACTAAACTATCATATGAGTTACAGAATGAAACTTACAACAATTAAAATCTCATTAATAAAAACATCCATTTTTATATCCATGTTTATTGCGTGGAAAATACTTACTGAAATATGTCCTTTACATACATATTTGTCTCATAATATATGAAACAATAATTTATATTTGTAGTTATATATCATTTATTTTTTTCATGAGGAAGAATCAAATAAACATGTATAGTTTGAAAGCATAACAATTGCATAAGAGTTTCATGTTTCAAATATTAGGCCTGCTATTTCATACTGAAACAAAAATCACATTTTATTGTTAACTTCTGTGTTGAAAAGAAATATAAAATATTATGACCTTACCCCATTTCTATATGATCTTGCACATTTCCTACAATCTTTTCCAAGGATATAAGATCGTCTACAGTATTTAGGGGCTTAAAATCACTCTCTTTCTTACTGCAAATATATTCAAACTACCAATTTACTGAATATCGCAAAATTTTATAATAATAATGTGAATTTTCCATATTTTCACACAAACAAAAACAAATATGTATCTACATGATTATACTTGTTGATAAACTTGAAATACATCAGTAATTATTAAAACATACAGTCTGTAGACATAATGACAATGTTAAAGGGTATAAAGCTTAATTTGGACTGTATAAAGTAAAATAAAATTATTGTTTATGTCATGGAAAAGACTGTTTATGAATTCAGGAGGAGGTGTGTAAGCCGCCAGGTACAGGTTACTCAGTCAGTATAGCTATGTAACAGTATAACAAGGGTTCAAGTCCCTGTCAGGCTGCATGTTTTTCTCCCCCTGTGACATCTGTATAGATATAAGAATTCTACAAAAATATGCAATACCACATAATCATGTTTGAACATTTTCTCAGGCAAGTGAGCACAATAATACACTACATCATCCATAAACCCTATCAAAATACATGTAGCAATGTATATTGTTTTTATAGGGATTTTATCGTCTTTACATACATGTTTAATATTTATGTGCTTATACAAATTGACACACCATTTATTATTATCTTTCTGAGAAATGATCATAAGGGTATGAAATCTCTGATGGTAAACTTTTTTTAATATTGCAGAAAAGGGTTTATTTTAAATTAAAGATTTTATGTTTCAAAGGGAGTTTATGCATTACTGCACTAAGGGGACAATATATAGATTTACACAATTACCTTACTTTGTTTATTTTTTTAATAAATCAATAAGCTATAACAAACTGAACTTAATAAACAAAATAAACATTTTAAATAACAGTATTAAAATTTATCTTTTTCAAAAATCACTTATACACACTGGCTTATTTTTTTAAATAAAAAATAATTGAGGAGTATAAAATATTTTACCTTAAACAAATAAGAAGATAATCTATTGCATCATGAACAATTGTAACAATGGTCCATGTTTTATGTGAGACAGCTGATATAAACTCACTTATACCTCCACAGGTAGTTCTTCCATCTAAACACCATCTCACTACAAGTCTGTGTACCTTATATAATATGTTTGTCAAATATCATAATAATATAAGTTTGAAAATTTTAATCATTATTATGACCCATTACCATAACAATTTTTAAGTCTCATCAATACTGGAAAAGTCAGGATTGTTGTGAATTTTCAGCTTACCTGGGGGTCCCAGGTGCCTTGTTTTGAAAATTATTTCTTTTCAATGGACCACCTTGAATTTGAACCAATTTTTTGGTGTTTGGGAAAAAAGTACTTGCAGATATTAAAGAATTTTCAAAGTATGCAATGACGCTCTGTGAGGAGGCTGACTTAATTTGATCCAAAATATCAAGACCTTTGGTAAATCTTAAGAAATCAAAACCCATAACAAAGATTACCTTTGTCCTGTTGCCCATTCAAAATACATATGTTGCCCGGATTCTTGCATTGTTTAACCTCGACTCTTGCCATTACCAAATGAAAACAGGGTTTTTAGTGTCTTTAAATGTTTTACATAAACCTTAAACTGTTTTTGATAACAGTTTCCATTTTGTCAACATGGACTGAATAGATTAACAAGATACTTGTTTATGTTCAGAATCACCATGCAACAATGTTTAAAAAATTTATCTTCTTTCATGTACACAGAATGTGAATAAGAAAGCATTGTTCATATATGATCAATCACATATAATGTCTTTCCCTTGAAATTTAAATTTGGGTTTAAAAAACAAAACCCCTAAATAAAAGAAAATTTATACACTAACGGGATAGATTCCTGAAATGAAATAATTCATCAATTCTGGCAAAAATCAGAAGGGAGCAAACTTCACAACAAAACCAAAAATAGTATTTAAGTTTTAATAAAAATATGTCACGATTAAGACAGTTCACTGTTTAGGGGAGATGAGTAAGCTGCAGGAAAGCTTAGTCAATAGAGCCACAGAATGGTATCCCAATTGTCCTGGGTTCAAGTCCCAGTCAGGCTGCACTTTTTTTTTACCCTGTGACATATATGATGTATTACCATGACTGATATTAATTTTTGTATTTTACATTTCTATGCAGTACATAAAAAGACTTGTGTTCATTTCAATGATTTCTTTATGTTTATATTTTTTTACGTTTTTAAAAAGTTTTAATTAGTAAAAATGTTATTCTATGTAAAAATTCTGGAGAAATATATTTTTCACTCAAACATTTTATCCTTATCACAAGACAATTCTTAACCCTGAGCTTGCAGGCAGCAACTTAATATATAAGCCACCAATGCAGACCAAGATCTGCCACACTGGCCGCTTATATACTGCAATATTCACTTTTCAGTTACTATATGTTTTGAAATTTCCCCTAAAAATAACAAATGGTTTTGTCCAGATTGTACAATGGACAAGTCCATTTAAGATAATTAGTATGGTAAAGGTTGACTAACCTCTCCTCCTCTGTTTTCTTCTTCTTATTTGCCTGTTGCCTTGTCAACTTTAACATTCTTTTACATATCTCCAGACGACAATCTACTTCTAGCTGTTTATAGAATATCATAAATTAACTTTATCTAACATAGAACAATTCACTAATGTTACAATAAGTAATGAGTTGTAGTTTGACTTCATCTGTACCAGTTGAAACAGTTTTTCAAGCATATATCAAAGGCAGTCACTAAACTAGTGTTCCTGTAATCTGTGCCAGTTCTAACCTGATTGCCACCATTAGAATTCATGAATCACATCCAACAGCAATTTATATTATTTGACAACAATGAATTACAGATAGTCATATAAAATTGTGTCCGGATGAACATCTTTAAGATAAGCAGACAGGACTTGGCATGTGACAGTCCTACACATAATGTCAGATAGAGCTTCCCATAATTATTTGTACATTCAAGTAAAAACTTGAATATCTTCCTCACAATTCAACATCTCTGACAGGGCTTTATCCCAATAGCAGCAGGAGTAAACATTTTTAAGTATAAAGTTATTATGGTAATAATTTCAGTGAGAGGTAGTACACACAGTCTCCAGGTGGCGGCAAGTTTCTCTTTGTTTGGTCATTTCGGTAAATAGATGCAATATATTATTCAAGCTATTAGTTGTGATTTTCACTCATACTGAACAAGTTTGCCTAGCTAGTTATATTTTACATGACCTGGACAATACATGAAGTTATAAGTAGTAAAGATATCTATGTACTAACCAAACTTCTTGATTTCTCAGTGAAGATAATTTCTTGAAGTAGATCTGTGATATGATGAGAATTTACTTTTTGAATATACTCTGAGCAAGCTTCATACCGATGTACCCAGCCAGCCTGAAAATACATCACATAATTATATCAATGTTATGTATAATAAATATCTCAAGAAGTTAGTACAATTTCACATTAAGTCCTACAAAATATTCCTTTACAAACTTAATGATGATTTGTTTTTCTCATTGTAAACATTACTGGTCTTTTAAAATTTTATTTGACTCTCAATTACAGTCTATAGTGTCTATACAAGGGTTATCAAGGGGACCAAGATAAAATTATTTTCAGTTTTACCTTTTCACTGACCATTTAAACTTGGATGGGCATAATGTCACATTTATATTTTTATAACAGCCTGACACAGAATTTGACAACAATTTTTTTAAAAGTATTCCAAATTTCAGAGAATTTGCTAAAATAATTCATTCTCCTGTAAACCTACTTGCCAACAAAATAAATGACAAATAGAATGAGTAAGAAAATGTAACAATAAAATTTGAAAGAATATGTAGCAAAGACAGAACAAAAATCATGACCAAACCAACAAATAAATCAAAGAGTGGAAATGACAACAAATAAATGCGACATACTGTTGAATCAGGTTGTTTCTTGCCATCTCCTTCCCAGAAAAACTTGGCAGCCCAACAACAATAAATAATGCTGGTATCTAAAACACCACCTCTCTGAAAAAAAATCACCAAAGTTTTTGTAACTTTATAAGCAATAATATGTCTATAAAGTTATAGCATAACACTTATAGAAGCTTTTTTCTTTAGTCTGTAACACTAATATTATTTTGCATGCTTGTTATGTTGCTTTCATTGCATCTATATGCAAGTTGCCACAAAAGTTATGAATAAATTTCTATTTCATTGAAATGAAATAATTGTACAGCAGTGTAAATTCATTACAGCAGTGGACATAAAGCATTCCCTCATGAGCTTATCTGGAAACGAAATAGAAAGACAATGAAATTGGAAGACTTTATGGAAATTATTCAGAGAGAAAAAACAACAAAAAACCAGTAATAGTTAAATATCTTACACCATCCGGTATCTGTTTAGCAAGTTTGGCAATTGTAGCAACATTAGATGATGAAAGACAAGGGGAGATTACTTCTATCACTTTACATTCTGTATCCATTAACTGTCTGTAGTCTATACCTGTATAATTGTAAATTTTCAAAATGCTTTAATGTCATAGATAATATGTGATATATCTTTTTCTTCAACAACCAATATTTTTTTGGCATTTTGGCAAAACTTTGTGTTTCTTCAAGTACATTAAGGATTTGATATGAATTTTTGGACTCTAAAAAGTGATGATGAAGTTATATGGAGTATAATATGCATATGCCATAGATATTTTGGACTCTTGAAATAGACACTTTCTTTCTTTCTTTGTTTCATTTTACGCCTTTTCCCAACAGTATTTCAGTCATATAGGCAGGTAGTTTCCTAACCATCGTTCCTAGAGAGTTACACCAGTACTAGACAACCTTCCTCCGTGCTAAACTACCAAAGCATCTCCCGGGGTTCAAACCCATGCCAGAGAGGTAACTGGATTAGAAGTCATCGACTCTAACCCCTCGACCACAGAGGCGGTGAAATAGACACAAGGCCAAATATGATTGAATCAAATTATTTCAATTGGAACATTACATAGGTCAAACACTGAAAGTTAATTAGTTACATTTTATACGGTGCACATTAGCCTTTACCTTAGAAATATTGGGATTACACCTTTATCTGGGAGTCTATTTTTTATATAACAACCTCATATAGTGTATGAATTGTACAAAGTATACTTTCAATATGAATTTTGTTATTTTGCAAGTCTAAAAATTTTAAATAGTTTAAATTACCAGCAGTCACAGATTTGAGTTTCTTCAATAATTTGACATGACTATCTGCCGTCAAACCACCTTGTAACTCATTCTCACAGCCCTGCATCATACTATAGTAAAACAGTAACATTTGGTGGTCTGTACCGTCCAGCGAGGGGTAGACATACGTGTTCATACGTTCACAGAAATCATCAGGTCTAGATCGTAACACTTCAAGTATGTTCAGTTTTGTCACTCTAGCTTGAAGTTCTTCCACTGATAATCTGCTCATATATAAATATATCAAATGATGATGTACTTGAATATAACTTGCAATATATTATCTATTTCTTATTTCTTTATAATAAACATGGTTAAAATAAGCACATAATGTCAACCACCATATGTTTAAATAAACAGGTAACACCATTTTAAAACTGGTTCATTACATGATGACCTTGCTGTATTCTGTATATTTTCTGGCTCTAAAATATCATCTTTAAACTCACTTTTGTTGTTATCTAAAAACATTACATTAAACATCTCCAACTAAAGATATTATGCCACAAGAGGCTTGCTTTATAGCAAGTAACTCTTTCCTGTGTACACTTATAAAATGACCCTAAACAAACTTATAACTAACCCAAAGTTATACCTATCACAGATGCTGCACTCAAATACCAATGAAAATGCAACAAAATGTGTTCCCAGAAAATAACATTTAGATGTTTACTTCTACATCAGTATAGAAAAGTTTTACAATCCAAAACTGGCAATATTTTTGAAATATAGAAATAAACAGCAAAACAGTACATAATGTTAAATTATGTGACTAGTCTAAATGATCGATCTAGTTGCATTTCCAATACACAACATACTTTCACTTGATACCCATCAATCTTTCTAAAATCTTCCTTTTAAAATATATATTATTTTTGTTTCTTGTTAACAATTTGTAAACTAAGACCATTTGTTTTGTTTGAGGTTCCTATTCCTGGTATCTTGATCATGACAGCAAATGAAAATAAAAGAATACTAACCCGCTATCACACAGTAGATACTCTAGATGTGTGGCATAAACTTGCCACAGTGGTATATCATAACGCTCGGCCAAACTGATAGATATGTTATATATACTGTCCTCTATTGTCCTGAAAACAAATCATACAAGTGAATAATTACTGAGGTGATATACTGTTTTCAAGATTTTAGAAATATCTAACAAGGAAAACCATATTGACAAGTTTTTCATTATCTCAAGTTCCTTGATATAAACATTATTAAATTTATAAATATGAAATATTCTTTTTAATTTTCCCCTATTACCATAGTTTAGTATGAGCACATTCATCATGAGTATTTCAATTTTATATTATAGGTTGAAAAAAAACATAATGAAAGTAGGACTGTGTTTCAACTGTCTATAAATAACATATCATCTACTAACAAACCATAAAGTAAGTCAAACCATGATTTTCACCATTTAATATTTAGCATTTTTACCTAGGTCATATGAGCAGGGTCATCAAGGGCAGAAAATGACTAAATATAGTATTATATCTAAACATTATCAGACCTTTAAAAAATAAAATACTTTTTGATGCTAAAAACATTCATGACATAACAGTAAGACAATGGTGTAATGTATTTCTGGCAACTTGTTTAACATAATAAATACTTACATAGCCAGTCCTAGTATAGTCTCTGTCTTATATTCAGTGTCTGTAGTAAATCTGTCAGTATCTATACCTGATAAAATATATAATTTATAAACAGTGTTATATCATTTACATTTACACATATATTCTTCAGTATATTCATGCATCTTTGAGCAGATCTAGTAATTTATTAATAGTAGGTAGTGTGTATGTCCAACATACCTCAGACATACAAGTTTTACTCTACTTTGTTGCAAAGCATTTAATAAGATAGCTGAATTAAAGACAATATGACTAATGTCATTTAATCAAATATTTTTTGTGAAAAAAGTGACTTTTACTTGGGGTCTAAATAAAATCTGGACACTAACCCTTACCAAAATAATACGTTATTTATAATACAATTTTAAAGTATATAATAAAGTGAAACCTCTGCCTAGCTTCTTCAGGATCTTGGCTTGTCTATAATCTTCTAACATCTCACTGTAATGTTTTATCTTCTCAACAAGATCAACTACATATTCTGGCCAATCAATTTCCTTCTTCTGACAAACTAAACCTGTCACCTTCTGCATGACCTTCACTGAATGAATAGGAGGTCAAATGTTCATTTTACATTTAATACACTCAAGAAGGCCAATATAATACTCTAAGGCCAATATAACATTCTAAGCAATCAACTGTCTTACTCTGACAAATCAAACCTGGCTCCTTCTCAGTTCAAATGAATTAAACAGATACAAAGTCAAAGGTAAACATCACACATGAAATTTTCAATAGGTTTCACTACATAACAATCAATTTAACTTTTCTGATAAATAAACCCTAATACATTCTGAAACCTGAAACATAGCATAGTGACAAATAAACTTCTTTCTACCACCAATTTAGATATACAGATGAACGGTACTGACCTGGTTCTCTCAAGTAGAGAGGAGATATATGTGGTAGATCTACTGGTTTAACTGCCGAGTATAACTGTAGGACATAGTAATACAGTGCTAACTGTAGAGATACATCTGTCCTAGGGTGATCATCAAAACATCTGTCTGCTTCTGTTGGCTGTGATACAAAATACATTACGATAAAATGGTTCTTGCAATGCAGACTCTTGAATTCACTACACTTAAAATACGATTTCAATGAAACAGTAATGTTCTTCAGCTTATCATTTTTCCTCTAATTTTTGTAATGTTTCAAGTAACACTGATACTGTAAGTACTAGGAGACTTCATATGCCTCTACAAGCATTATTTTAGACAAGAGCAGGCACCTTAGTATATCTACCAACCTATCTGGTATCTGGATTACTAACTCACATGAGATTTTATAGTTCTATGCAAGGTTTTGACCCCATTGCAGTGCGGGGCAAAAGAATGGGCAAAATACGGCAAAAGTCTGTGAGTTTAACTACTCAGCATTGGAAAATGCTGTTTAACTTACAATTATATATGTAAACAAAAAATATACTAATAATATCTGTCATATGTTGCGGTTCGGATCGGAATATTCGTCCCGAGGTGACCCGCCCATTGGGCGGTAACGAGGCTTGCCGAGTTACCGCCCATGGGCGGGTGACCGAGGGGCGGATATTCCGATCCGAACCGCAAACATATGTCAGATATTGTTTCTTGCATATTCTACCATATTCCATTATATTTTAAATTCTTTATCTTTATTTCCAATGGAAATTTATATCATGACAACCGTAACTACTTTCTTACAACAGCGTATGGAATTGCAATTTCATTCATAACGGTAAAATGACGTCATCCTAAGCGTGCCATTGTACAGCACGCGACTCATCTGGCACCCCCCATGCCAGATGAAATTTCCGGCATGGGTAAAACTAACGGAAACGCCAGTCTGCTATGCAAGAAAAAGAAATCCATTTATAACTTTCCTATAATCTAAGTTTATATTTTAACAAAAGCAAACAATATGCATGTACAAGAGCTGTCGGTAGGACAGCACGCTCGACTACTCTAAGTGCTTGATAGTATGACCCTCCAATTATGACCCTAAGTGCATGTGTAAAGTTTCAAGTAAATATCTTTGAAGACCTTTAACCTTTAACCAAAATTTCTAAGTTTCAAAGGGGCAAATAATTCTGCAAATAATTGCAGGCAGAGTTATGCAATTTTGCAAACTGATGTACATTGTTACTATAAAAAATATTTTAAATTTCAATTGAATATCTCAAGCATTAATTGAGATATTTGACTTTACAAAAAAACTTTAACCAAAATTTCTAAGTTCCAAAGAGGCATAATTCTGTCAATATTGTAGGCATAGTTATCCAACTTGTCAATCTGATGTACCTTGTTACTATAAATGAGTATTGTAAGTTTCAATTGAATATCTCAAGCAATAATTGAGATATTTGACTTTACAAAAAACTTTAACCAAAATTTCTAAGTTATAAAGGGGCAAATAATTCTGCAAATATTGCAGGCAGAGTTATGCAATTTTGCAAACTGATGTACATTGTTACTATAAAAAAAGTATTTTAAATTTCAATTGAATATCTCAAGCAATAATTGAGATATTTGACTTTACAAAAAAACTTTAACCAAAATTTCTAAGTTAAAAAGGGGCATAATTCTGTCAATATTGTAGGCAGAGTTATCCAACTTGTCAATCTGATGTACCTTGTTACTATAAATAAGTATTGTAAGTTTCAATTGAATATCTCAAGCAATAATTGAGATATTTGACTTTACAAAAAACTTTAACCAAAATTTCTAAGTTAAAAAGGGGCATAATTCTGTCAATATTGTAGGCAGAGTTATCCAACTTGTCAATCTGATGTACCTTGTTACTATAAATAAGTATTGTAAGTTTCAATTGAATATCTCAAGTAATAATTGAGATATTTGACTTTACAAAAAACTTTAACCAACGCAGACGCCGACGCGACTACAATAGCTCTCATATTCTTTGAATAGTCGAGCTAATAAAAAGTAGTTGGTTTACACAGAATTTATTTTAGTTTGATTGTGAAGGAAGCTTATAAACACAATTTCCAATCAATTACTGGAACCAACCAGTACTGAGCAGTGCATGGAAAGTTTCTTGCCCAAGGAAACAACCTAAATCAATAGTATACATGATAAAGAATTTTAACTATAACTTAATATGGCATTTGAAATAACATCAGTAAATCTATATTGCATCATCCCAGTGTCATCAAAACTAAAATGTAATAAAGAAGATATCCTCACCTGTTGAAGAGCTAACAGGTAAGCTAAACTCAACGTATTGTCTACACAAAAACTCTCAATGGCCAACTGTAGCAATACTGTACAAAAATAAATAAACTTGCTAGAAATTATTGTACTTGTATCCCACAAGTTTCATGTTTACCAAGCATTTATGCAATTAAAAACATGGATGCAAATGTAACGTTTAATAACACCTGATGCAACCAATTATGTTTGCATAAAATTTACACAAACTTTATGTCTTTAAAAGTAACAACTTTTGGCGTTTTCAAACAATCCTAATGAAATAATGAAGAAGATTATGATATTTTTTCTTACATATCAGTAATGGTAACATATTAGAATTATCATATCTGTCAGTATATCTACTAGATTTATTCTAATTTATTTTAGTATAATTGTGTTTGAAGCTATAAAATTATTGTAACACTCTGGTATCCATCCGGAACTAACAGTATTAAGCAATGAGTGTAAAGTCTCCTGCTCATGGAAAAACTAAAGCTTGCTCCTATATCCTATATCTACTTAAAAACCAATATCAGTTAAATATCTGGCAAAAAATGATTCCTCGGAAGCATTAAAGACAGCAAAATTACATGAAAATTGCAGACTCGGTTTTATTAAGTCTGTACATGAGGGATAATGAAAATGTGCAATAAAATACCCATAAATACAATAAGAAATACAACAGACCTTCTGTTGCTGACTGTGATTTTTCCCCTTCTGTCAACATCTCCTCTAACTGAGCTGTCCTCAACAGTTTCTCACTCATCTGTGTATCTGGTTGAACATGGGTCTCTAAGTTACGGAAATCTGCCTCATCCTTAAATACAACACACTATAAATACATGTATGTCTAAAACTATAATGGGTGTTTAAATGGTGTGAATAATTATGTCCTTATCAGTTACAAATAGAAAATAAATATACAGACCCTATATAATTTTTTTCAATAAATTCAGCTTGTTTACATAAGGCAGCATTTGTAAAGGGCCAAAATTATCTAATATTAAACAATTAGCCTTCCATAAGATGTATTTTATCGCAATAATTATTTAAATGGAAATATAAAATACAAAGATAGCTATGCATGTTATTCATATGTTTTCTTTTGTTACATACTCTCTCTGGTTAGAATGTAAATCACAGTGACACTGTGGCAAGGCTACTTTTCAGCTTTACTGCCATAGAACAATGTTCGGACTACTCTATAAATTATTTCAGGCAGAAGCAAGCACCAGCAGAAACACAAACCTTCCATAGTCAAATCAATAGCTTTTTACTATAAAAGAATAAAAAATTCCCTGTCAGGATTCAAAACCACAGCGATTCAAATGACTGGCAAATAACATGAAGTCAGCAACTTTATCAACTTGGCCAAAGAGGCCTTAACAAATCTTTAGTACCAATGTACTTGTATATGAAAGGAATTCTTTTTAAATAAAATTACAATAATAGCTAGCTTTTAATAGATATATTTCTTACCACATTAGAATAGCAGTTATCAATAAATCCCTCATAAAATGGATGACATGATTGTAACTCCAGCTTCTTGTTCCTATTTGTCATATCATACGATTCCTGTCTTTTCATTGGTTGACGTAATCTGTTCACTGTTCCATGCCACCATTTTGAATCTGTTACAGTAGACAGAACAGCTTTTGTCGTCTGCTTTGTTGATGTGAGAATATGTTGTGTCTGCTGCATGGCAGCTTTTGTTGAAAATGGACTGGTCCGCTTGATTGACTCTTCCCCAGAATCCTCAACCTTAGAACTAATTCCTTCAAACAGAACCTGTTACACACAAAACACTTGGCTAAAAAAATTGTTGCTGCAAGACAATACTTAAAATATCTAAACATTCTTTGTATGCATGTTCATTTTTACTTTAGTTTTGATTGTTTGATTTTTTGTATTTCTTTCCTGACTGAGATTTAAGTAATACTGTAAATGTGTTACAGTGACTATAATATTGGTGAATTAAGACCTGAGGTGCCATTTTCAGGAACTGATTGGTATCTAAAATTGACCTATGCTTTAAAAAGCTAGCTAAAAAGCTTCCTTTCAAGAAATAATGCACAACTAATGCAATTGAGTCAGGCTAAAAGTTGTATTTTTTATGCAATTTATTACTTATTTCAATAAAAGTTGCAACAAAATAATGTTAAACTATACTTTTGAATATCAGGTATCTAAATCTTTTACTACATGTATTAATCTTGGTAAAATCTCAAAAAGGAAAAATCATAACAAGTCACACATGAAGTAACAATGGAGACTATCCAAATATAGAATAGATAAACATACCTGTGTTTCTAGGAGAGCCCGGGCTTGTAAAATTGGTTCAATCATGTCTGGTGTACAAAATGTGACAGCAAATGACAGTAACTCTACCCTGAAAATTTTATCAATAAGTAAATATACTACATTGATTATAAATGTGACCACACTTTCAGAACAAGTAATGTGGTCCTGTGTTAGGACTGTCTAACTTGATTGTTAGTACTGTCTAATTTGATATCAAAGGGTTATGAATTCTCACTATTGCTTTCTTAACTAAGATATTTGTTTTCTTACTAAAATAACAAACATACATTTCAAAGACACTTATAACCCTTACCATTCTAAATACCTTCTTATCTTTCAATCTGGACAAAACAATGCATCATTTTGAGGGGAAATATCAAAATAAGTTCACCTCAATAACAAACAGTCCCGACCATGATCTCATGGCACAGATGTGTTGGATGATCTTGTTTTGTACTGGTAGCATGGGTAGAATCAGTTGCTGCTAGCAGGCCAAGAGTTTTAGATGGTCCTGTGTTAAACAGTTTTACATCTTGATCAATAAAGTACACATAGTCTCTCCTGGAATGGCGTAATTTCTGTTTCCACTACCCTATCATCCAAAACTTACAAACTTAGACCCCGTCTATACATGTTTGAAATAAGAATTCTGCTTCATATTTACTTACTTAGCGTGAAAGTTTTGGAATGCTGGATGTGTTGCAAGGTCGACACAGACATCCCAGGCTGCACCATGACCAGACAACATCAACTCATTACAAGTCTCATAGGCATATACAAAATCCTCATTCTATAATATAATAACAGTGTTAAATTATTGCCATAACAACAAAGGTCAGTTCTTGCATGTAAGTTAAAAAAAGGAAAAATAATTCTATATACAAGACCTGTCAATGAAAACTGTGACAGTTACAGATTTTGTAATAACTTGGCCAATATATGGTTCTTTAAAACAATTTTGATGAGTGAGAACCAAATTGTAGTATTAAGATTAAGGTCACCCTAAGAAATTTAAGATAAAGTTTCATAAAAGGAAATTTTTGACAGCATACCTTGACAGCAGCAGCGGCAATAAGATGTAGAACCTTTCCATCTCTTTCAACTCTGTCGACAGCTGATACCCTCAACAAATGTCCTAGCCTCAGTAACTATTAAAATATACACCATGTCAAACATTAAATATCAGAGAAAAATATGTCAGATTATTATTTTTATTTCTATATGTTATATTATATTGCAATTTAGAAAATAATATATACCAGGTAATATTCTTATCAGTTATTAGAATATCGCCACAATTAAGATGAAAAAAACAAATTTGTAGCCTAAATTCTCATGACATTTTATGAATGAATATTTTTAGAAATATATAATGGATAAGATTGAAAATCAAAACAATTATTAAACATAAGTTATATATGGACTTACATTATGTTGAAAACAAACAACATTTTGTGATAAAATCCCTTTAATTCAAAGGTTACCTTAAAATGTATTAAAATTTTTTCATTTGTGAGTTATCTAAATGAAATATAGACTTATACCTTCACTTTTTGTTTATACGATGCAGGTTTGCAGTCAACTGCTTCTTGTACATATTTTATCCTTTCTTTTGACAGTCGAACTGAAATATATGTACATAAACCCACATAACAACAACCAAAGATAAATATGTATTGATAAAACTAATAATAATGACATCATCATAATGACATTAAGTATTTGGTATGATTTGACACTAATAAAGGTCATAGTTTCTCAGTGAAAGTAGACTTTAGTTGCAAACCCCAATCAACCAACCAATACCATTACCAAATTTCCCTTTTTATTACTTCAGGCATGTTATAATCTGTATATAAAGGTTATTTGCTAATGCTCAATTAAAATAATGTCAACATGTAAAACCATTAATTAAATTGATAATCGTGTCACAAAATATTCATAAATGTTAAAAACAACCACACATAAAATGATGTAATGATTAAGAAAGGCCAGCTTTCAAAACTAAAATGATTACAAAAAAAAATGTCTTTTACATTCACAATTAACATTACTAACAAAAAATCAAGATTTACTTATTCAGATTTATATTATGTGACTTACCTTGTAATGGAAGAACTTTGACACCAAAATCATCTAAAACTGACAAAGATGATATAAGGTCAAGCTCTTCTTGTATAGATGGTGGACTGTCTTGTATCAAATTTAAACAGGACCTTTAAATAGAACAAAATCATTTAACATATATTTTGATACTGCCATTACCATAAAGTCATGTACAGAGATACAGTATTACTCCATTCCAGACCACAATGGTTCATAAAAGTGCATATCTGTAATACTGTTAAAAATTATTTTCAATAAGTTGATAAACAAGAACTGTCGGAGGACAGTAACGCTCGACTATTCGAAAAGTTGTCACAAGTGTGTTTCATTGAGTATAATAATTCTTACCTATATGAATACATAAAATTGTCCCAAAAAGTACAAAGGATTGTTATTAAGATGTTTTATCGAGTTAATCACTGCTTTATTATTATGAATGCATAAAATTGTTCCAAAAAAAGCAAAATACCTTCAGTAGTTATGGAGATACCAGCTTACAAGCAAAAACTTTACCAAGAATTTCTAAGCCGAATAAGGTGCATAATTATGAAAAAAAAAATCAGAATTATGGGACTTGTGCCAATCATGTTACATAATCACAGAGAGCAAGTGTGTGAAGTTTCAATCCATTCCCTTCAGTAGTTATGGAGATACCAGCTTACATGCAAAAACTTAACCACAGGGACGCCGACAAATGGGTGACTGCATTAGCTCGATTATTCTGCGAAAAGTCGAGCTAAAAAGGAAGAAAATTTGCATATCCATATAATTATACAGTTAAACTTCGTTCGCTCGAACTTGGATTGCTTGAATACCTCCTTTCGCTCGAACTCATTGTCAAGTCCCGGCAAAATTCCTATATAATATATATTGTTCTACCTCGGATCGCTCCAACACCCATCGCTCGAACTCTCGAACATGATCTCTGGTCCCTTCGGCAGAAATATCGTGTAAATCACACCTTTTCAGTCGAACACAAACAGACAACAAAAGTTGCGGGTCGACTTGTTCTAAATAATTGACAGTGGGTGACACATGTTTTTAACACCTCGTGATCGTGACAAAGGCAATTAAGGTTAATTGATACATAGTAAAAGGTGTTGTAACCGATTTGTTTGTTATGATAAAATTGTATATTTGCCGTCTTTAGTAACGATCAAAAGAAAACAACTCCTGAAATGCGCAAAAGTCAACTAGAACTGCCACTATCATGGCGTGAATACCCCCGCATACCACTTTGTCAGAATCAACAGTGGCCATTTAGAGCTCAAGGACAACCTCCCTGCCAAATCTGAGGTTATTAAGCCAGTGCATTGCTAAGTTATGTATTCTACATGCTTCAAATGTGAAAATGTCAAAATCAATACATTGCGGACAGGACATTCTTTAGCAATTGAGAAGAAAAGCTTTTTTTTTGTCAAGGTCCCTGTGACCTTGACCTTTGACCCAGTGACCTCAAAATCAATTGGGGTCACCTTATAGTTATGATCAACATCCATGCTAAATATGAAGACTGTGGGTCAAAGGAATCTTAAGTTAATGGGTGGACAAACTTTTTGAAGTCAAAATCCCTATGACCTTGACCTTTGATCCAGTGACCTCAAAATCAAAAGGGGTCATCTACTAATCATGATCAACATCCATGCCAAATATGAAGACTGTGGGTCAAAGGAATCTAAAGTTATTGGGCAGACAAACTTTTTGAAGTCAAAGTCCCTGTGACCTTGACCTTTGACCTGGTGACCTCAAAATCAATAGGGGTCATCTACTAATCATGACTAACCTCCATGCCAAATATGAAGACTGTGGGTCAAAGGAATCTTAAGTTATAGGGCGGACAAGCTTTTTGAAGTCAAGGCCCTGTGACCTTGACCTTTGACCTGGTGACCTCAAAGTCAATAGCGGTCATCTACTAATCATAACTAACCTCCATGCCAAATATGAAGACTGTGGGTCAAAGGAATCTTAAGTTATTGGGCAGACAAGCTTTTTGAAGTCAAGGCCCCTGTGACCTTGACCTTTGACCTGGTGACCTCAAAGTCAAAAGGGGTCATCTACTTATCATGACTAGCCTCCATGCCAAATATGAAGACTGTGGGTCAAAGGAATCTTAAGTTATTGGGCAGACAAGCTTTTTGAAGTCAAGGCCCCTGTGACCTTGACCTTTGACCTAGTGACCTCAAAATCAATAGGGGTCATTTACTTATCATGACTAACCTCCATGCCAAATATGAAGACTAAGGGTCAAAGGAATCTTAAGTTATTGGGCGGACAAGAAAAAACCGACGGACAGCCGGACGGCCGGACAAGCTGATTCCAGTATACCCCCCTTACAACTTTGTTGTGCGGGGGTATAATAAATAAATGACGTTTACCCGGACGGCTTTAATTACAACCATGGTTCATGTATCATGAATTGTAACAGTGAAATCTATTTATAGAATGATACTTGTACGTGTTTATTTTAGTAAATGACTACAAATATATGCTGCTGTAAAATGTTTTTTTTATATTTAATTAATTCATTGTTTGAAATAAAATTAATTCCATAGTAGACATATAAATATATTTTGAACATTGTTCACAGTTTGGATAATGATCGCCCCATCGAACTCAACCAATCACAATATGCATGAATATAGATTAACAGTGTACCGTTAATATTGTTTTCAATAGGATAATAATTCTTAATATGACGTATTCGACAAACAGATGTTCTAACAACAATAATATTGACGTATTTATCATTTGACCTATGTAAGCTGGAAAACCTTTAGACATATGTTCTATGTAATAATAGTTCAAACTCGGTTGGCTCGAACTACCGATCTCTCGAACAAATTTCCACAGACCCTCCGAGTTCGAGCGAACGAAGTTCGACTGTATCTTTAAATGGCTGCTGATTAAATTCATTAGAGCTATTATTGAATATAGAATGTAGAATATGGAATATACCTTGCTAGAGTCATGCATGTGTCAGTCAAACTTGCGGAGGAGTTAAAGTATTCCTGGGCCGCACTCAGAACAAGCTCTATCGCCTTTTTATAGGGCACCTTGGTCTGCATCGTGTAGATAATGGGGGACGGTTTGTGAGACTCGGACACATTTTTCTCAACCATCTGTCCAGCAAGTTGTATGTAACTAGGGTTACTAGAACACAGCAAACTCTCTACAAATATCTGAAATCAATACAAGAACCGGTTGAACCGGGTGATGCTGCCACAAGAAGGTTTTGGACACAGGAAAGTATAAAAAAATGAACAAAGGGCAATAACTCCAAAATTAGGCAAGGCAAAGCTATGGTTTTTTTGCAGTGCACTTCTATTCAAAATCTTATACCTATACAGTTTTGTGATGATATCTCTTCTAGTTTCAGAGTTATGTCCCAGGTAAAATTCAAAGTGTAAAAATAAACAAAGGGCAATAACTCCAAAATTAGACAAGTGTGTGTTTAGGTTCTTTAGCATTGCAGTTATATCCAATGAGATCTATCTACCTACAAAGTTTCATGTTGATATCTAATAGTTTTAGAGTAATGTCCCAAACAAAAGTCAAAAAGTAAAAACAAACAAAGGGCAATAATTTCAAAATAAGGCAAGGCAGAGTTATGGTTCTTTAGCACTGCACACCTACTCAATGAGATCTATCTACCTACAAAGTTTCATGTTGATATCTCTTATATATAAAGTAAGTTCTCAAGAAAAGAAATCGAATCACTTAATCTTTCCAAACAAATACGTATGTAAACCAGTAGTGTTATTGTCTTATAAGAAAACATATTTGAGACCCCAGTTTTTCCGAATGAAAGACAGAAACCTTGACCTCTTATTTACTACTCTCTAATATCTCGGGAATTATACTTGCTACACAACAAAATACAGTTCTCATCTTAAATATACTTTTAAGTAGTATTAAACACTATCTATTCTTTGTGTTGTTAATTTTTTATGAAACAATAGTGTAAACAAATATCCTGCCAAATGTTTTAAATGGATATGTCTAGCTTTTATTCTTCGGACTGTACATATTCCATTTCTGGAATATCAGATAATCATGGAAATTTGAAGTTGGTCAGTTTATAGTAGATCTATACACATCTAAACAACCATATTTTCTGGCTTAGGCAGCTCTTAATGGTGTGAAAGGCTGTTAAGATTTTGTTTCAGTGTTTTAAGATTTAATTATTACCTTTATTAAAGCAAATTTTTGTTATCTTGGATTATATTATGCACAAAATATTGTGAAAATAATTCTTCATAAACTAATTTTTCAATAAAGGAAATATTACTTTCATTGAAATGACATTCTTCTATACTTCAATTGCACTTCACACTTTGGAAAATTCTAATGTTTCTGTAAGATTCAGTCTATACTCATTCTTCTTGAAGATAGTCTATATTTAATGTAATACATCTATAATACCTATAATACATAATAATTCTAATCTTTCTTTAATGTTCAGTCTTTAAAGACATCCTATATGTAATGTAATACAAGGGTAGATACGAAGTTACTTACAGCATGACATAGTGCTGGTGATACACATCTGTAAACTTTATCCTGTAACAACATCATCTCACTGTGTAATTTTGCCCACTGTACTTCACTTACTGTACCTTCCCTGTAATATATGAATATGTAATATATGAATATGTAATATATGAATATATCAGTACAGTAACATGCATGTATAGTAAAGTGAAGATTATAAGTAGAAATCACATCTTTCATTCTATGCCTATGCTATTGTTACCTTGGTTATACAACTGATTATTTCCCTTTGGTTACACTTTATAAGAACCAAACCTACCAGAGCAATATGATCAGATTCTCTAGTGAAGGGGGATCAATTTCAGTATTTTGATACAAGAATTCTTTGAATTGAAAATGGGGTTTTCTTATTCAAACCCGGACAACACAGATCAAGTGGGACAACAATAAAAATCTAAGTTCAAAACAAAACAGTTTGATGACATGATAAAAGATTTCTGAACAAAACAAAACATGTAATTGCATTTTTGTATGATATAAAACTAGGATGTACCTCCTGCCCATGTTGCGAGTCAGTCGAATCATTAATTGTTCTGCTTCATCAGCATTTGACTGTATAAAATATAAATACAATATTACCATTAATCAGTAAATATACTGCATTAATCAAGAAATTTGTGAGCAACTATTTCATAGCATGTAAGTAATCATTTGACATACAATAGGTGTTATTTTCTGTGGCGGCCCGGGGAGACGAAAAAGGGGGTTACGGGTACTGTCTGGCTCTTTCTCCTGGCCTGACTTGCTTGAAAGCATGCAGGTTCATTGTATGTATTAGTTTTATGTATTATGGTGGGGTGAACTCCAGGGTTACGTTGGCACCCCCCTCCACCTCTACGTATGGAGGGTAGGCCCAGGGCAGGGCTACGTCCGGGACCTTGTTGCTCAGGAGTCAGATGTAATCTTGGCAGCCCGCTAACACCTGTCTACTTAAGCGTGTTCAACTTTTGGGACTGACACCAGGCCCCGAGGTTATAAAGAAATTCTCCGAGCTCAAACTCAGATCTCAGAAATTTGATTGGTAAGAAACTGTCACAGAATGTACACTAGCCAATGGAAATCCTGAGATCTGAGACAGAACTCAGACAGAAGTTTTATAGCCTTGAGGCCAGGTTGTAAACCTGGGTCACTGACTGGCCAGTGTAACAAGGCAGTTAGTTGTCTCCCCCCGGACTGGATAAAATTTATGGGTTTTGCCCGTCTGCAGCCAAATTTCCGCCACAAGGTTATGAAGTACCTTAATAAAAGTATAATTGTCAAATTATCATGTTGTTTATCTGTTATTAGTTCTGGTTGCACACATAAGTGACTATGTGATGCCAAGTGTAAAATCAGTTATTGAAAACAGAGAGTAATATTCAAGTTCTCTTCAGAAGAGAAACAAAGATTGTGATGGCAGGGTGTCCGTAGTATTATAAAGGAAGTATGTGATTTAAATGTATAGTACTAAACTATAAGTGGTATTATTTCCATTTATATACAATTCCATATTTAAGGTTTATCACTTAACATCCCAGAAAGACCGCAATTGGATGGTGACCAGACTACTTCTAGAGAATAGATATACCCTAGTTACCCTTTTAATCAAAGGGTGATTCTTAAATTTAATATTTCAATAATGCAACCCCTTAAAAAACAAGTCTGAAGAGCCACACACCCTAATTTTCTCAATGCTGTAAGACTGTAATATGAGTGTTAGTATTAACGTTTATGACAATAAATGAAATTCATAATTTTTGTCTCACCTCTGTTTCTTTTATATAAAACACTGGCTTCTTTATACCATTTTCTGCCAGCACTTTAGCAGCACTAAAAGTAAAATAAAAGTTAAATATTTATTAAGTTATGGACAATAACAAACATTGTTTACATATGAAACACTTTGTGAAACATTTAAGGTACACCTTTTGCTGAATGAGGATGTAACATTTGGACCATTGTGAAGTTAAAGCATTAGGATTAATTTTTGTTTCAAGAAAGATCTTGACTTTTCTATCTAATTTCATGTTAAAAGGTAGAAACATGTTAAAAATTGACAATTTAAGAGTATCTCACTGTGTTCATATCAATAATAAACACAGTGAGTTATTTACTGTAACTAAATGACTTACTTGAGATGATCTTCAACTTTATCAACATGTACATGAAGTTTCTGAATCTCTTTTGTATCAGCCCTGAAATCAAAATACAGTCCAAACAGTTGACATGACAATTAACACTTGACAACGTCAGTATCAACTATTTCAAAAGTTAACATTCAACCTCTCTTAAGGAACAACAAACACAAACTTTGTCTACATAACACTGTTGTATTGGCTATTTCATGATAATCCTTTTTCCTCATCTAAATTTACAGCTATGTTTTGTATATAATAAAACCACAATCAAAATTACACATGTGCTTAATTTTTTTTTCAATATTTTGAACAATAACGCACTTGTATCTCCATGCACTTTAAAATATTATCTATAACTACACCATACATGTATATCATTACTTCAAATAATAAACTAGTATACATGTTCTATATACAATGTTAGATCTAAATTCAATTTATCAAACCATAACATGAAATTACAATAAAAACAGTGTAATCTATCAAATACTCTGATGTTACATATTTTAATTGATTTACCCTGTGTTAGATGGCATCTGTACTGACTTTTCAAAGTATTGATTACATCCCATTTTTTGAATGGATGACATAAACTAAATAAACAAATAATACATACAGTAATAACTTTTTATGAAATATTTCAAATCATATAGGCCATATGGTGGTGACTTTTCACCTTTAATATTGTAGGAAAACCTCTGATACTATTTTGTTGTGCATTATTTTAGGTATGACTGTGCACTAAAATAGAACCACTGGCCTTCTGTATGCTACCTTGATAGCTTCCTTACACATCAGAATCACTCTAAATCCCTGATAATATTAGGACCTACAGTCATGAAGAGAAAATGATCTGAAGACAGGATAAAAACAATTTACCCATAGCCTCTCTGAGGTAAACATTTCAAAATTTCCTCAGCCAAATGTAACTGATCATCTCTGAAAGTTAAAAGAAATTATTTTATTTCTTGTTCAATTTTTCATTGCCATATTCTAATTCTAAACACTAGGAGAGATAGTGCCTAGTATAAACTGCAGGTATTTGGTTTAACCAGTGCACTTTTGAGCATTCTTATCATACCCTTACACAGTATAAATTGCTGCAAGAGACATTTAATATGGTAAATATCATTTATACTGAGAAACATATAATTCATGTTTTATACAGTATAAAGTGCTGACAGAGGCATAAAATATATGGTAGATAAAAATCTAAAATTCTATAAATGTTCAAATACAAAATTTTTTGAAAAGCCTACACATTCGAATTTTAAATAAATTACAATCAAATATCAGAGATAGTATCAATATGTATTTCAGACAATTTGTTTAAAAACACCAATCACATCAGTACATTATTTAGTGATATAAAATTCTGAGGAAGCTTATAACATCATATTGCTACAGAGGAAACTATCAGCACAATTTGACATAGAAAATTTACCTCTGACAACTGTAAATGGCATCAATACCCAGTGACATCAATTCTGCCTGCTTTGGAATCACAGGATTTGGTAACTGAAATAACATTATATTTATATATTGCATTCCTGTGTGGAGAAATTATATGGCAGCAGATAACACAAATAGTGTCATAATAATACCAGTAAACAATGCAGGCACACTGTAAACCTGGTGAGCTATACAACAAAGGTAAAATAGTAACTAAATATGGTGTACTATAGAAGGATAAAAATCAGTTATGTAAAGCTAAAAGAAGATACTATAGTGCTATTGACCCAATAAGAAGGAATAATAAAAGCTACCATTACATGACTTTTTACTTAATAAAAGGCATAAAGAACATAAAAACTCTTGAAATCAACAAAAATTCAACTCATAAGAGTGTAAACACATTTGAAGATAACAAATACATGTAGTTATTATCTTTGACAGACGTACTATTATCTACAAAAACCTCATATTCTTTAAACTTTTTGGTTCAGTTTTAAGACACACTAACATAGTAAAGTTAACTTGGTATATTTCTAGCTTTTACTGGCAGAGTTCTAAGGTGATGCCTTTGTACATTATTTCAGTGTTGACTGGGCTCCAGAGAAGAACAATGAATTTCTTTAACTTAACTTGATAGCTTCATTTCATGACAGAATACACAGTTTTCATGAAATTTGAGGCCACAAAAGAAGAGCAAGATAATCATAGCATACCTTACCACAATGCCAGAGTACCGAGACCTATGGCAATCTGAGAAAAGAAACTTAAAACAGCAAACAAAGATACCACCTTCTATTTTAAAAATTACAATACCATAATATAATTAAAATATTTAAACATTTTGATAGATTAAAGAAAGTATATATACACACGTGAGTTTTTGAGGCCTCAAAGATATGTAGTGGTCTAACAAGGTCTGATCTAGCTAATGTCACGATATAATCACGTAGTAAATGAATGTAGGCTCCATGTGACCGTCTGTCACACTGTTTTAGGAACGGTACCATCCATTTCCTCAAATTCTTTGAATACATGTCATCACTTGACTGTAATAGGGAAAAAAAATCTTATTAAATAACATTAACAAAACATTTTTAAGCTTTAGATAACAATGTTGGATTTTCCTTATAAAATGGTAATTGATTTTTTTAACTAATCTACTAAACAACAACAAAATAAATGCAAAAAAAAATAATATTCAAGGGGTATGCTGCAACTAGCAACAAGATTTTTTTTATTGGGTTATAATGTCAAACCAACACAGTATAGGTCATATTATGATTTTCCAGCTTTACTGGTAAAGAAAGACCTAAGGTGCCCCACTGTGCTTTATTTCAGGCACAAACTGGCACCTGAGTAGAACCAATGACAGCTGGATAGCTTTCTCACAATAAACAAGATTGTTTTAAAATTTTATAAATCACTGCAGATATATTCTCTATAGAATACTTGTATGATTTCTGACCTTTGACATTATGAGTTCAAGTTTATCGTAGTCTGCCATCTCCTGTAACTCTTTAAATGTCAAGGTCTCATCAATATGACAACTGTACACTAACATCTCCATAGTAACAAGGTCATCAAGTACATTATCAAGTCCCTGTAACATAATAAATATACAACATGTAAGTTAAATATAAATGACAAATATACATAAGCCATCCTAAACATGTTATATTATTATACCTCTTGCGACGTTGCCTGTTTAAAACGTGATATATGCATCATAAACAATTTGTAACATTGCCATCATGTGGGTTCTGCAAAAAGACTGAGATAACAAATTTATCCAGGCATGCGTCTTAGAATACAAATCACTGGTTAAAAAACCCATTCATAAATATACTTCTCATTGGTGACATATATATTGATCTTTATTGTGCAAAACAAACAATTTCAAATATCTTGTATTGATACTTTCGGTATAATAAAATAAATGTTACATGCCTGTGTGCTAGTTCATAATATAATCATTTCCCATGATACATAACTTTTACCCTAGAAAGTTCATGCCTTCTCGGCTAATGCCCCCATACTTTCAATAATTTTAGGGGAGTAACTAAACATTTTTGATGAGTAAAGCTTGGAGGGCAGCAATAATACCTTAACAGAGTAAAAATAATCCTTTGGAAGCATTAAGATCAGCAAAATTACAAGAAAATTCAGACTCAGTTTGATAGAGTCTGTACACGAGGGATCAAAAAATAGTGCATGCCCCCTTCACTTATAATTGTCTGAAAAACAAACATATCAAGTCGTATCTAATTAAGTCAAATCTTTATTACATACCTGGACTTGTCTTTCTATAGCTAATTTAACCAGGTCTAGAGCACAGTCTGCCTGTCTAGATAATTTCTCTATCTCCTTAGCTCTATACTCATACCAGTCTGTTAACACCTCACCACTGATATCTCCTCTATAAAAACACACATATATACATGATCAATAACTTATTAATGTAATTCTATATTCACATGTATTATACAAAAACTGTCATTTTGATAATAATTATAAATATATTTCATTGATTTTTAGAAGTCAATATTGAAAAGAAAATTAACTGATATTGATAATGTGATAAAACTAAATCCAAATACATGTATACTAAAAAGTGGGTTTTGTTTTGTTTTGTTTGGATATTATCTATTATTTTTATCACCTTATACCTGTCTAAAATCATATTTATCATATTTCAAAAACTCAGACTAGGTAATGATAGTCATATCTTTAATACAATATCTCTTATTGTAGTTTTCACAATGCTAAATCACTGTAAATAACACCATTTCAAATGTTTGGTCAACTGACAATCATCCTAAATATCTCAACAGTGTTAACAGAATTAATCTAAAACATAATCAAAGAAATTTGAAAACATACCTATATTTCTTAAATTCCGGTCTTTCATCATAAATAAATTCCCCCGGATCTGTTGTGACTGGTTCCAGGGCAGATTTACATGGTTGTTGTTCTACCCAGTCTAGTTTACACCATCTATCTGTAGGCCAGGGAACCAGCTCTGATTCACTGTAAAACAAACACAGCATGAAATATGATTTGTTTGTACAATAAAACTATGTTCTAGTAGACGTTTGAGAGTTCTCTTGCAAAGGTCTCGATGATACAAACTGCAATACTATTCCAAGTTTACATTTAATTCTTTCAATTTTTTAATTGCACTTGAATATTCTTTCATATACCCATTTGAAACTACATCTGCATGAAGTATAGATTTAATCAATTTATTTTTAAAAAAATTACAATGTTGATTAACCAATCAAGTAAGGTTTACAGATAATGTGCTACTCCATGTACAAACAAGAACTGTCAGAGGACAGTAACGCTCGACTATTCGAAAATTTGTCACAAGGGTGTTTCATTGAGTATAATAATGCTTACCTATATGACTACATAAAATTGTACGAAAAGGTACAAACCCTTCCAAGTTTCAATACAATCACAGAGAACAAGTGTGTGAAGTTTCAATCCATTCCCTTCAGTAGTTATGGAGATACCAGCTTACACACAAAAACTTAACCACGAATTTATGAATCGAAAAAGGGGAATAATTATGCGAAAAAGTAAATCAGAGTTATGGGACTTGTGCCAATCATCTTAAATAATCACAGAGACCAAGTGTGTGAAGTTTCAATCCATTCCCTTCAGTAGTTATGGAGATACCAGCTTACACGCAAAAACTTAACCAAGAATTTCTAAGATAAAAAAGGGGCATAATTATGCAAAAAAGCAAATCAGAGTTATGGGACTTGTGCCAATCATCTTAGATAATCACAGAGACCAAGTGTGTGAAGTTTCAATCCATTCCCTTCAGTAGTTATGGAGATACCAGCTTACACGCAAAAACTTAACCAAGAATTTCTAAGTCGAACAAGGGGCATTTTTATGTAAAAAAGCAAATCAGAGTTATTGGACTTGTGCCAATCATCTAAGATAATCACAGAGAACAAGTGTGTGAAGTTTCAATCCATTCCCTTCAGTAGTTATGGAGATACCAGCTTACACGCAAAAACTTAACCAAGAATTTCTAAGTCGAAAAAGGGGCATAATTATGTAAAACAGCAAATCAGAGTTATGGGACTTGTTCCAATCATCTAAGATAATCACAGAGAACAAGTGTTTGAAGTTTCAATCCATTCCCTTCAGTAGTTATGGAGATACCAGCTTACATACAAAAACTTAACCAAGAATTTCTAAGTCGAAAAAGGGGCATAATTATGTAAAAAAGCAAATCAGAGTTATGGGACTTGTGCCAATCATCTTAGATAATCACAGAGAACAAGTGTGTGAAGTTTCAATCCATTCCCTTCAGTAGTTATGGAGATACCAGCTTACATACAAAAACTTAACCACAGGGACGCCGACGCCGACAAATGGGTGACTGCATTAGCTCGATTATTCTACGAATAGTCGAGCTAAAAACAGGTCACATGCTCCTCCTTGGCTCAAATATTAATCTTAGGAGACTAACAGATTAGATCAAACAATGTCAGATAACTTTATTAACTACAGCTTATATGACGGCAAGTCCATCACCAAGCAAACAGCAGCAAAAGTTGGATAAAACTAAATCTATTTACTACCTAAACCTTTCCCTTTGTCTGTCTCTAGTAGAAGCAGAAGTAAACTGAAAAGATAATTTTCATTCAAAATTTATCAACTTTTATTATTTAGAGACAACTGTTTTGTTTAATAAAAAGTATTAATAAATTTTTAAACTAAAAATATAAGAATTTCAACCTTATCTCTGGCAATAAAATCTTGTATTCGGCAGGTGGTGTTGTCTCTGGGAAATTGCTAAGAATAGCCAGTCTGTAAAGAATATATTAACATTATAATATAAGAAACATGTTATCATGTTGTAGAATTTAGGAAATGTTCTTTAAAACCATTGATTTATTATAAGAAACAGAATTACATACATATAAAATTAAATTCTTGCTTTAGCTTAAAGATGGGTGATGTTCAGTGACATGAATGAAAATTGTATAACAGAATTTTTTAACTTTGCATGATCAAGTTCATGACACCCAATCCTTCTTTCACTTAAAATGCTTTTGTTATCATATTCTTAGATCATGTAAAGTTTAAATAAATTCTGTTATAAAGTGTTCATTATGTTTTATGTCTATATGTCACTAAAGCATAAAATAAACATGTCATCATTACTTTATGCATAAAATTATATCACTAGAGAAACTACTAATATGTATATTTATCATGCAACTACTATGGTAACTGCCCGATAACACTTGCCTGATAATTATTTTTGATATCAGGTCAGTAACCTGATATCAAAAATAAGCCCCGCCCATTTTAACGGACTTTTTTCAATTGCTTATATTCTCATTTTTACCAGCATGTGAATTCTACAATGTAATCTCATAGCTACCCTTACAAGTCTTGAATCAAGGTGCGATATTTAGGCCTATTATTTCGATTTCAATTACGAATAAGTTAGATAGCGAATAGTTTTAGCTCCAACTAAATGAAGTGACGTCATAATTTATATTGCAAATGACATCATCGATGTTCACGTCATACTATACATGTAATCATAACAAACAGACTAGACGATTTTCATTGAGATCTTGTAAATGTTTACTTTATTTCGCCGGATTATTATTCAATAAGTGAACAAATTGTTTCGTTTAAAAAATTTATAAAAATAAGATGCACGTTTGTGTAGCTTGTGTTTGATTGCCGATTTGACTTTTCTTTGATTAAAATTATCGTGAACTTTTGAATTTGACAATTTAAGACAAAAATTGCAGTAAAGTTTAGTTTATGTGATTGTAAGTGGATTTTTGGATCGATGTTTAAATTAAAGGTAAGAATTTTATCGTATTAGGCCTACAATCTGTTGTATCTTTTATCCGAGTCGAAAGAAAAAATGGCCGCCAATAACAAATTCTAAGTTTCAGAGGCGGAGGAATTTTTTTCAAGAATTATTTCTTTGAACAAAAATCCCCCTTTTTAACGAAATTCGCTATTTAAAAGTAGATTATTCTTTTATTTTGACAGTTGTTATGTGTTACATGATAAATAGAAAAACATGCTACCGTCTTTTGATATCAATTTTATCAGGCTCGGCTGATATGGGCAGAAAGGGCTCGGCAAGCCTCGCCCTTTCTAGCCCATATCAGCCTCGCCTGATAAAATTGATATCAAAAGACAGTAGCATGTTATTCTCTATATAGGAAATAAACAAAACATCCAGCCTGATCACTACCAATTTTATAAACTTGGGCTCATAGTGTATGAAAAAGAATAATCTTATGAACAAAAGACAAATTCAAAATGCTCACTGCAAAAAAAAAAGAAACAACAACCTTGTATTTACCTATGGGGTAAGAGCTCCGCTCCGTGAAATGTAAACAATATTTCTAGAGCCTTCCAATCACTGCTCTGAAATAGATAAAGAAATATCAATCATCTTTAAATTTAAAACTGACACAAAAGTTTCTCAAATTTAATATACATGTATTAACTCAATATCTTAATCAAGACAACTAGTCATTTGCCATAAAATAATATTTCTGTTGCTACCAAAATTTATCTAAAGTCTGTGGTTTGGTTTAAACATATTTATTTAAGCTGGATTGCGAAACAAGTTCTTGCAACTTATATTAATCACTTTTGAGTCCGCTTCCTGGAACCAACCAGTACCGGTGTCATATGAAGATACATGGTCGTAACCAGAGAAGGGCTCGAACCCATCATCCCTGGATTGAAATGCAGACACCTTAACCACTAGGCCACCCCTCCCCTTAAGGCAGTAACCTATTCTAAATGATTAGAAACTAACCTGAGCATAATCAACTGCAAGTTCCACTATGTTCATCGATCGAAATTTCTCAAAAAACTTTGGGTCAAACCTCTCAGCAGCATAGCTCACTCCGCCCAAAATATACTGAAAATAAAAACAAGTTTTAAAACCAACTTCATTAATTATTTATTTTTTTTGTACATGACTGCTGTTTTGTGAAACATTTTATTTCAATAAAACATGAGAAAACATGCTGCACATTTTTAATAATGAGTGGCAGTTTTCATAGTCGCAAAAATATAAATACCAATCTCGCTATAGTCAGGGTTTTTCCTAAAGTTGCTTACAATAACTGGGTGATTTTGTATATTACCTCATACGTTTTAAGCCTGTACAAATACTGAAGAAGTTTCTTTCTTGCTCTACATAACTCTCTTTGCTCTAAAGTTAAACTGTAAAATAAAATAAATAAAACATTATAGAAGAAATATAAATATTTCTTAATTGCAACTTCTATCAAATACATTTAATCACTACAAAATCTGACAAATACTGTAACTTTAGCAAATTAAGTTATAAATAAATTTGGTACACACCATTTAAAAAGGCACAATGCAAACAGAATTTTACTATACTGAAACACATGTGTCAAAGTACAAATGTACAACTTACTTTCCAAAGTCCACCTCTGTCATTAACTGATCTATTCGCTCTTGTTTTATTTTCTCTTTCTTCTCCTCAACTTCAGGATCAAAATCATCCAGTTCTATATCCTCATATAAACCATCTTCCGGATCAATCATAATAAACCTAATAAAATGTAAGTCACACATTTTAAAATCTTAACAATTCTAGAAAAAACAGTATCATATAAACAGTTACACATGTATGTTTTTTACAGACATAACATGCTAAGCAAATGAACAAAAAATAAAAAATTCTTGATCCACATTCAAAGCTGATCAAAAAAAAAATTTAAAACTGCATGCCTTCATGAAACAAACAAAAATATCATTTAGTTAATGGAAGGTTCAGTACTCTCATCTCTTACCTCCCTTTACATTCAACCCATTTTTTCGTGGACCAAGGTAGACTACTATCACAATTTTTTTTCTCAACAAATGCGTACAACTTACCTCCCTTTATCTTCCCCTTTGCCAATCATGATAAGAGCTGGAAGATCAGTTCCCCTCAGTCCAAACTCTAGTAGCTCCTTCATGGCATCAATTCTCTCTGACATTCTCTCCGTACATTCATGTAACACCCACGCTCTTTTACTGATCTTACTCTGTAGTAACAATTTTGTAACATTTTCAAAATGAAATATTTCATTCCCAAAAACAAGAAGCAATAATGATTTGCATGCACCATTGGTATAAAGCAAGGCCAGTATAAATGTCCATAAAGACAGACATGTCTGTATACTGTTGGCTATTCAAATTCAGGATTTTGTCATCTGTGTGTCATCTGCCATTTGTACAGTCTGGGCGACTAACAATGAATAAACATGCACTCAATACTGTTGCCTAGGTAATCGCAACTTTTTGATTCTGAAACCTTTGAGATAAGATAACAGTGGTTAGTTCCAAGATCAAAGCAGAACAAATCTAAAGTATAATTGTAGCTGACAAATGGTTATTTAGTTTAGTTAAGTTTAGTTTATACAAATTTATTTTAGTTTGACTGTGTTGGAATCTATAAGCTTATTGAAACACTCTCGATTCCGTTCCTGGAACCAACCAGTCCTAAGCAATGAATGTAAATTTTCATGCTCAAGGAAACAACGGCTTGCCTTTGACAGGGTTTGAATCCACGCAGTTATCCTTAATTTGTTATTAAATTGTGAATATCATCAATAAGGGACAAAAATAAGCTTACAAGATAGTCTTGTATAGAAGAAATTTCTACAGGTGACTTTCTCCATTGTCTCTGATATACCAGATCTACATCTAGACCATATGCTTGAGCCAGGGCCTTTGCTTCTCCATACTCCTCATTCTCCAACTAAAATAAATATATGTTCCTAAATATAGCTTCTTACAGACCATATGCTTGAGCCAGGGCCTTTGCTTCTCCATAATTTCATTATCATGATAAATAAAACATATGTATTTTTTTCTATATGGATAGAATATTGTCACTGGACATACAATGCAAAATATTTTGTTCTTATAAACACAATGTTTACTCATATGGCCCTTGCATTGAATATGTTTTTTTGAGCTTCACATACTCTGATAACCTTAACAGTTATAAAGAAAGCTGTCATGCTATACCAAATATAAATAAAATAAATAAAAACATATTGTTGTCCAAATCCTAGCCCAGTTTGCGGGTAACATATTATTGATTTTACGAGGCTATGAGTATGCTGGATGTCATATTATCCTGTCCGCTAAGTAGCATACAACAGCTTAGTAGCCAAGGTATTTCCCGATGATTTGTAAATTTATAAATGAAATACACTTATATTTTTTATTGTTTTGGGGGTATTTTATATGATTAAAGTTCAGTCTATTATCTCTAAAGAAAAATATAAACTAGAAATGTCTTCATAGGACACGGATGCCCCCACACGCCACTGTTCTGTCAATCTTATGACTCTAGGTCAAATATTTTTTGGACTACATGTGCCACAAGTTGAAAACTAAAAATCAACAAAGGGCCATAATTCTGTTAAATTTGGTCGCAGCAAAAATTCCTTCCTTTACTACCATCTACACATTAAGGTTGTTCATCCCTGGAAGTTTAAGCAAAATCTGCCATCCGGTTTAAGAGGAGTTGCGTTCACAAAATTTCTACACAGTATATAGTGAAAAAATCAACAAAGGGCCATAATTCTGTAAAATTTGGTCGCAGAAAAAATTCCTCCCTTTACTACCATCTACACATTAAGGTTGTTCATCCCTGGAAGTTTAAGCAAAATCTGCCATCCGGTTTAAGAGGAGTTGCGTTCACAAAATTTCTACATAGTATATAGTGAAAAAATCAACAAAGGGCCATAATTCTGTTAAATTTGGTCGCAGCAAAAATTCCTTCCTTTACTACCATCTACACATTAAGGTTGTTCATCCCTGGAAGTTTAAGCAAAATCTGCCATCCGGTTTAAGAGGAGTTGCGTTCACAAGATTTCGGGACAGACGGACGGACGGACAAGTGCAAGCTATATGCTCCCACTCTGTGGAGGCATAAAAACTTCAAGATAAATTTAATTGTCATACTTTGCGGGCAAACAATTCCTCAGGAGTTGTAGATTTCAGACATACCAGTCTGTATGTCCTATTGACCATTCTGTAATAGAAAAGGACAGCCATAAGTGACCATTAAAATCTTTAACTTTCATTCATGCATGTGCACTGTAAGAACTTTTGTTTTTCATGAATTAAAATTAAAAATGAACCTAAAGATTTGCAAGTGTAAAACTCCTTACTAATTAAAATCCAATAACAAACATAATATTTATACATGTAAATAAAAATATAGTGTACATGTACATTCATTTGACATTTTAATACCTGGGTTTTTTCTTTGGAGGTTTAAACCTATCCATGTCAGTCATATAGTGTATACACTGCTTGGCCACACCCAATGACTTTGATACAAGCCCCGCCTCCTCTTCATCAGTTTCATCTTCTTCATCACCTGGAGAGTCTGACACCAGGCGGCGCTTTGATGGAAAACGACATTCAACCTACACAAAATGAGAAACTTTAGATATATTACAAGTACAGGGAAATGTCAGCTAATTAATAAGTTTCATTATAACATAGTTCATGTAGAAAAGACAAGTATAATCAAGAAATTTTTTCCTGTCTTACATTACAAGATGAGTCTTTGATTTCCTGTAATATTTTGTTACAGTTCTTGATAAAACTTCCAATTTTTCTAATTAAAAAACATAAACATGAAACATTCTAGTTATATGTGACACCTGACAGGATAAAATAAGAAATAAAATAATATGACAGGAAATTTAACCTCTAGGCCCAGGAAGCCTCCATCATGTACTTCTGAGAGTCGTGGAGCAGGTTCAAACCATTCAGGTTGGTTCCCCAACAAGTTTTTCAGTGTTTTGGTTGAAGATACTGTGACAGCACCTGTTCCTCTACCTAATATTACAGCCTGTAATATAACAATAATTTATGTCAAATAATGTCACATGGATCAAATAAATGATAACAAGGTTCTGATAAAAAATGGAGTAGGTAGATAAAAAGATTTTAAATTCTGAAGTTTTATTGGAATTTAACTTTAATGCAAAAGACATTTTAGGGTCAGGAGTACTCAGGACTCGAGACAAAAAGAAAGGGCTTATTAGGTAAAATATATAATCCTTTTGTTTGACCTAATATGATAGAATGTTACTGAGCAACAGTCACATATGCACAGATCATAATTTCTAGCTTTGATGGTGTAAGAAGAATGCAAAAACCCCTTTGGGCATTATTTCATATGGAAGCAAGCATTTGTGTAGAAACATCAATTTGTAAGCTAGCTAGATTGTTCCTTCACATGAAAGAATCTCAAAACCAAACAATTATTCAGCCTTCAACACTAATGTATTGTAATCAACTGATGTCAATAAAAATATAACAACCCCAAGATAAAATCAAGGCATTTTTTTCATGCTTTGGTACAACCAAACAACAACCACCAGGTTTTTTTCCAGGATTTTGGGAACATGACCTTTATCCATAGAATATGGAATTTTAGTGATGTTTTGTTAAAAATTGGGAAGAAATGGTTTACTTAAATTCTGCAGTGTTTAAATGAATGCAAAGAATCAGCGTCTAGAATGGCATCTTCAAACATTTAAACACTATTACACTGAAAAAAGCTGTTATTTTCAAATATTTTAGAATTTGTTATTCAATATTTTTATATTGTAACTTAAATTGGGAATTTTTTCCTGTGGATTGGGAAAATAATATTTTTAATTGGGAATATGACCGAATATCGGCTATAAAATAAGCCAAACAAAATCCCTGACCACTGTACTACATTCTTTATCTGTGACCAACGAAGATCTTATTTTAATGGAACAACTTTTAAACTTATTCAAACCACTTATAAAACAAACAAAATTCCTATCATACACTGAATTATTTACATTTCAAATAAAATTATGATGCCCTGACATATGTCTTTCCAACCAAACTACAACCACCTCGACCATGAACTTTAACTGTGTGTAACTGAATTTTACTAATTATTTGTGGACCAAATTAGCTTTTGTATTGGTCATAGATTGATTCTACAGGGATATGTCACACCCAATAATATAAAAAATCTAACCTGTTCTGACCACCAGTTTATATCCAAAAGATTTCTTGTATTTACAAGGTCTGAAATTTTACATATAATCAGATTAATATAGAATACATACAGATTATGAATTGTCACTGTGTTATGTCAAGTTTTTTGTTTTATCATGTACCTTTCAAAAGTGGAAGAGTGATATTGTGACTACTGGGTTTTCCTCTGTAAACAAAGATCACAAGGTCAAGCACAATGTAGGACACAAACATATTTTTATATATGCCACCAGTACTGGTTAGCCAAGACAAAGAGTGGTTACATTAACATTACATTACAATCAGGTTATAATAAATATTATTATTAATAATAAAACACTATATTGTTACTCATCATCTACATACAATTTTTTACAAACTGCAATATCTTTTTATATCCAAAATAAGTTCTGTATCATATGTTGTATAACAGTCTGCCTCCTTCATGACAGTCAAGTATATGACAGAAACAGTCCAACACACTTCATTCATGCAATTTTTCCATGATGGCAAAGAAACCATTAATTACCAAATACCTAATATTTTATACATGACAGTTACAAGATCAACCCTGCAATCTGTATCGGAAAAGTCTTTCCAAACACAAATACTTTTTATCTAGAATTACAAAGCAAAATGCCAGAAACACATTATTTCTCAACCAAATCATAACAGGACAAATGTGTATTAAACTACGTCTGAAACTGAAACAATTAAGAGATAACTGATTTACTTGAAGTCTTGAGAGAAAGCATATCATAATTATTTCAGACACAAAGATATATAACTGATTTATTCACCTTTGACTTGTTTCCTGATTTGAGGGTTTTCTGTAAATTCTGGGCTTATTTCTTCACTGTATGGCTAAAAAAAAATAGTAATGTAGTTTAAGTAATGCCATCCAACAAATTGTACGCATCACAGATTTTCCTTTCTGTAGGGTTGTAAAAGTCCATTATATATATAAACATAGTATGTATGGCAAAATATACACAAATATGTAATAAAATGTTATAAACATCTGACAATTAAAACACATAACTTAAAACATCTAAAACAACAACAACAAACCTGTTGGTCATGTTTCCACTGTGTAATAAGTTTCAGACTTGGTGCTGCCCACACACACACTTTACCGGAGAAATGTACAGATGCCATATACTTGTTACAAGGTGACAGACTCAATCTTAGAATACCTTCCTCATTATCACCTTTCATCTGTGACCAACTTCTTCTTAACCTGTCTCTAAAAGATTTCTGGTTTTGTGCCTGAATAAACATTAACATAAAAATATATGAATTTTAGGGAATTCTCAAAGTCTAAATTTAGTTTTAGCTATTTTAAGAGTGGAAATGTTCACATTTCTTTTTTATTTCTTTTTTACTTTTTCTGATCTGAAAGCAAGTACACAATATTCTAGATTTTGCATGACAAAGCCTAATAGATACAACCAAAAGATATTCATGTAAGAATAGATATGTTTTATTTGACATGATATTGATTTGTAGAAAGGAATGCATGCACACCAATTTTACTTTTATTAATGTTAACTTATTTAAATATTAATTTCCTATTAAAAACATGTTATTTCAATTGCTACAAACTGTTGTTTCTTATGAAACATCATTGTAATCATCACTTCTTAGCAAACATGACACCACAAAGTTGTAAATCAAACAAGAAAAACAAACCCTGCCCAAATCTTCAGCATAATCTGTTACAAGTTTGAAGTGAGGGTAATCAGACAGTATACGCCATGCTGTTAAACCCTCCTTTGAAGCTGTAGACATGCCCTCTTCTTCTTGACCACACCCACCAACATATAGTAGGCCAGCCTCTTCATGGTATTCTGCACAACTGTAATATAACATCATTTCTAAGAAGTGTTTTGTGATTTTAATTTGCATTTATTGCTATTAGGAGCTTGATTAAATAGCCACTATAAATATTTGGTAACTGCTTTAAAGCTGAATGTGTGAGAAAAAATTTCAACATATTACACTAATGATAAACCTGTTAATCCATCTTCATACAGAAAAGTTGAAAACAATTTTTGTGTATTGCATTGAAAGAAGTTCTTACTACTTTGTGCATCAAAAGAGCAGAGTTAATGTTCCTCTTTTAAAGACAACATCTAAAGAAAAAACTTCAATATAAGAGGGCTCTTATACAGTTCACTTCTCAATGATGCAGCAATCATAATGGCTTCATCTTTTCTTCTCATCAAACCACCTAAAAATTAACTGTTTAATGAGGCAAGTATCTTTATGATTTTTAATAAATGTATATGTAATATATACCTGATACCAAGAGGATAACAGTTGTTAAAGAGAAACATATGCTGTAGTTGAGATCCCTTGTCTCTGTGTACTTTATAACTACTCAGTTTACCATGATACTTTATCACCAATAATTCTGATGACCTGTAAATAATTCATAACTTTAATGCACTTGATTTTAGTACATTATTACATGCTTTTTAAATATACATTACATTATTACACACTAATAACACACTTATATGAAATATTCCACTCTTAATAAACCCTCAACCTGTTAAATATCTTCAATGGACTTGTCTATTTTTCAGTCTCAAAAAAAAACATTCAAAACTCTTCATAACTGATAGTAATAATCGCTAAGTGGGTCAGGTAATTTAATGCTCATTAAGTGGCTATAATTAAGAGGCTCATGAAATATGATGCTCAGACATTACCCTCATCAGATGGCTCAGGTAATATAACCTGATATTGAGGCTTAGGTTATATAATTTTGCAACCATAATACTAAGCTATATTTAACCTTTCAAATGTCAATATAACTAATAGTAAGACAATATATACCACTCGTCATCTGGAACTTTATCTGTAAATATAAGGGCTGATACAGCCTCACTCAGGTCTGTAACTCCTGGTGCCACCTCCTGTAACATTACATCAACATTCATAATTGAGCCACGTCATGACAAAACCAACATAATGCGTTTGCGACCAGCATGGATCCAGACCAGCCTGTGCATCCGCGCAGTCTGATCAGGATCCATGCTGTTTGCTATCAATTTCTCTACTTGTAATAGGGGTTGTAAGCAAACAGCCGATGCGCAGACTGGTCTGGATCCATGCTGGTCGCAAATGCATTATGTTGATTTTGTCATGGCACGGCTCATATAAAAAATACATTTAACATTACCAACTTTATCTATTAACTATAAGTTGTAATCAGAATACGTATAAGATTACACAGTTATAATGCAGAAAAATAATAATCACATTATTTTAGGTAAAATTCCTCTTCTTCAATAAATGGGTAAATACTTGAACATTCTATTTTATTATCTTAATCCATAATATATTAGACTATATTGGTAAGTATCTTAACATTTAATTTTATCATAGTATTTCATCATATTACACTCATACATGCCATAATTTTTACACTCATTTCCGGGACACTTTTCATTTGGAGGAGGGGCATTGATCAGCAAACATATTTTTTTTAAAAATTTACATAGTGGCATACAACCTATACTGTATTACCGGTATTTAAAGGTACAGATACCTTATTTCCGGGACTGTCCCGGGCATCCGGGACGTTATGGCATGTATGTTACACTATAGTCTTACAGTGCTTTTAAAGTATCAACAATAATTATTAGACAATAGGTTTGTAACTTATATACTTAGAAAACATGCTGTAAGTCAATAAGTAACACAAAAATTTCACTGCCCGTTTTCCACAGATTGTATCAAGGTAATCTGACACAGGTATGAAGTCATCTGAAACATTACTATAACAACACCTTGATCTTTGCTACCTTACCTTTCCAGGTATAGAGAAAAGTTGTGTCCCTACAATATCAAACGCTTGTACAGTTCCGTTGCTATAGGAACAAGCTAGCATTGAATTGTCTGGACTCCACACCAGGTGGCGCCACTGAGGGTGGCCATCTTTCTCCAGCGTAATTCGCCCATGCACAGTTGCATAATCATCTCGTTTTGACCTGTATGACAGTAGGTTAAAAACTATAAATTGACTGTATATCTCTATATTATCTGACAAAAAATCTTAAAATATTAACTCATATATTTCATTTATTATGAATTCTTTTCTTATGTTCTTATGGTAAAATAAGTGAAAATCTCAAAAAATGATGACAAGACTGTCTAAAAAAACATTGCAATTTAAATGAGTACATATACATATATCATTGGGGGAAATCAATATTTCAAAGAGTATAAACAGTATACCTTATTTCTACACCTTGATCTTGCATAATAGCAACAACACTTCCATCTCTAAAATAAACAGAAGAAAATGAGTCAAGCATAGCTAATCTAAAATAATACATAAATCATGTTATGTTTTATTCCTTGGTGCAATATCTTTACATAAATCATCTTGTAAGTTATAAGAGGAGTAATATACTTATGCTACCACAATCAAAGAGATTTGATGGTTTTCTATAAGCAAGCTTCACGCCTTGATATAATTAAATTAGATCAAATACATGTATCACCTTGAAATTCAAGGAATAAAAACTAAAAACTTAAACATAAATTACAGGTTACTTTTTGTTCTAAAACATGCAATACATTTATATTATTTTCAAGATTAGTCATATTGATATCTTTCAAGAATGATTTTTGATATATTTTGTGTTACCTAGCAACAGCTATCTGCCAATTGATTGTACAATTAACAAGCTTAACAAGACCTGCAGGAAGATCACATGGGCTAGCTGTCCTGAAATTAAAACGATGACATATTACATTGTAGCTTTAATGTCCAAACAGTTAAATGGTTGATTCATATAAGTACAGTCACATTTAAAGGGACTCCACTGAGGTTTTTTGACATGATGGGACTAGAAATAATTTTTCAATATTAATGATCTATTTGATGTACGTCTAGATAAATAACTTGTGTGCATAATTTCAGATCAATTGCTCACTCCATTTTTCCACAATATTTTTTTAATTGTGAAAATAACCAAAATTGTAGTGTTGCAACGCTGCATTGCAACTGTGACACTTTTCACTCAAATTGGGCTATACTAATAATTGCATAAAAATAAAATTTTCAATTTATTTCTGAGTATATTTCTTAATCGTATTAATTTTGGCCTATCTTTCTGTTTTAAGTACCTTGGCTAATGTATTAAGAAATTCAAACTCAGCGGAGTTCCTTTAACAGTAAGGGAATAGCCTTCTTTTAAAAATTTACACACATTCAACAGTACAAATGCAGAAAAAAAAGATTTTCTTGTGTAAAAAAATAACATGACTGGCATCACAATGCTAACTAGCCTTCAAAACTTTTCAATGTTATTTTTAATGTAAATCATAAAATGAAAGGTATGAAGTATTTTTGATACAACAATAAACATCTACATCTATTTCACATAAAGTTCAATGTGACTTGTGACGAGACAGGTAAGATTTCTATATGAATACGCTTAGTTGATCACAGTTAGAAGATTAAACAAAGCTTTGTGGCAAACAAGGCTCTGAAATAGATAAGGAATAATTAAAACTATGTGTGAAATAAGATAAGATAAGGAAAGACTTACTGTATGGGTAAACCAATGCTCCGTAACACAGTCCATCCTCTCCCTAAAACAGGTATAATTTCAATACATTTATGTATATAATGAACAGAATGCCTTCTTACTTTTTTATAATGACATATATTAAATGTCATTACAGTTCTAGGAATTTGAACAATTCAGCAATGTTTATTAAATGTCAATGCTTGTGTGCTTCATAATACAAGTAAGTGTAATTAAGTAACAAAACAAGACACACACAAATGACATGGTTTTACAAGCAAAGTCTAAATCTGACTAAATCAGTAAAAGTGTTATTTTACACTTAACATAATTATGAGCCGTGTCACGCCAAAACCAACATAGTGCGTTTGCGACCAGCATGGATCCAGACCAGCCTGCGCATCCGCGCAGTCTGATCAGGATCCATGCTGTTCGCTTGCAAACCCTAAAACAAGTAGAGAAACTAATAGCGAACAGCATGGATCTTGATCAGACTGTGCGGATGCGCAGGCAGGTCTACATCCATGCTGGTCGCAAACCCATTATGTTGGTTTTGTCGTGACACGGCTCATATTAAATGAAGTACTCTTACTTTGAGTAGATGAAGTAATTTTCCCCAACGCTGAATGCTGGGTCTGTTTTCCAACTGCATGTCTCTGAAATTAAAGCACGAACTTATTATTAAAATAATTTTAGGAAATATCTGTAATAAGTCATTTTAATAAAGAAATGATAAATACAATGTACTGTGAAACCTATCTATGATATCCATTAGTTTATAAAGAATCTACAATTAGTGGTGCACATAAAAACCTTTAATAGGAATACAAACCATTTCCTTACTGATATACATTTTAAAATTTAGTGTTATTCTAAATGAAAAATTAACAAATTTCAAATAAATTTCAAATAAAAACAAGAGCACCTCAGGCAATAAAATAAATATTAATTTTGACAAAAGTTTTCAATTCAACGAACAACTGCACCTGGTCATGATAAGCAAGTATTCATAGTTTCATGTTGGCAGCTTTTAAAATGTTAGAATATGGGGCTACATTAAAGTTTTTGCACAATAACAACAATGCTGACAGCGATGAAACAGTGCTAATAATACATGTAGCTCAACTTTCTCTGCGAAACAGATGAGCAAAAAAAAAACAAACTAGAAATGTGTCATCATGCCACGGATGCCCCCGCATGCAGCCAAAATTTCAGATGTTATTATATTTAGTTCCAAATTTGTTTGCACAAATTATTGTTTTCATTTTAAGTTCAAAGCCCTTAAAACTTTTCAATGTTAACACAAACCATTTTCATACAATGTTCAAGGCACTGAAATTATTCAGTCTTATCCTTTTGAAAATAGCATATTTCATATTTGTAGCCAAAATAATGGCTACATACATTTCCACAAAAGTATGTCAGTGCTGAAACTGAAAGTTCAAAATTTTATCCAATATTCAAGAAAGATAAGTTTGTCCAAAATCATTGAACCACGACCAAATTCAAACTTAAACTGTCTATTCCTAAGATGTATCTATATTATTTTCAAAGTGAAAGGGACATAACTCTGCCAAAAAATCATCGAACCATGACCAAATTCCAACTTGACCTGCCCATTCCTTTGACATATCCATATGTCAAATTTGAGTTGAATATGTAACACTGTTGGGTAGATAATGAACAGAAACTGTAAATTTCATATTTTTTTCAAAGTGAAAAGGGCATTACTCTGCCAAAAATTATTGAACCATGACCAAATTCGAACTTGACCTTGGCATTCCAAAAAAATATCAATATGTCAAATTTGAGTTGAATGTGTTGTACCGTTGGGGAGATAATAAACAGAAACTGAAAATTTCATATTATTTTCAAAGTAAAAGGAGCATAACTCTGCCAAAATTCATCGAACCATGACCAAATTCAAACTTGGCCTGTATTTTCTCATGACATATCCATATGTCAAATTTGAGTTGAATGTGTTGTACCGTTGGGGAGATAATGAACGGAAACTGAAAATTTCATATAATTTTCAAAGTAAAAGGGGCATAACTCTGCCAAAAATCATCGAATCATGACCTAATTCGAACTTGACCTGTATTTTCTCATGACATATCCATATGTCAAATTTGAGTTGAATGTGTTGTACGGTTGGGGAGATAATGAACGGAAACTGAAAATTTCATATTATTTTCAAAGTAAAAGGGGCATAACTCTGCCAAAAATCGTTGAACCATGACCAAATTCGAACTTGACCTGTATTTTCTCATGACATATCCATATGTCAAATTTGAATTGAATGTGTTGTACCGTTGGGGAGATAATGAAGGGAAACTGAAAATTTCATATTATTTTCAAAGTAAAAGGGGCATAACTCTGCCAAAAATCATCGAACCATGACCAAATTCGAACTTGACCTGTATTTTTTCATGACATATCCATATGTCAAATTTGAGTTGAATATGTGCAACCGTTACTAAGATAATGAACGGAAACTGATGATGACGGAATGACAGAATGACGGAATGACGGAAGGACGGAATGACGGAAGGACGGAATGACGGAAGGACGGAATGACGGAAGGACGGAAGGACGGAACAGGGTAACACTATATGCCCCGGCCATTACATGGCGGGGGCATAAAAACACAAAATCATAATTATAATGAAGATCTACTTAAATGTCATACAATAAGAAATACTTCAAACTGAAAATATGGCAAGAGTTTTTTAAAAGAGCATTTAAAGCTTATGTACAAATTATAACTTGTAATATATCATGTAAATGACACCCTTATTTTAAATTGAATACTAAACTGTGCTCAGAAAATAAGACAAAATGACATAATAGATATTTGTACAGTAAAATAGTAGATTGACCTCCCAATAAATCAATGAACAGACTTTGTTCATTTTGACTACTATTTTGTATGTTCCAACTGGGTCTTTCAATTTGAAAGACCCTGGTTCCAAAGAAAATACCACATGAACTTGAAATTCTATCAAATAACTAGGGCTGGGTATTGATCAGAAATTTCCTATACGACATGTATTGCGATACAGACCAACGATGCACAATACGTATTGAAGATACAGTACAATGATGCTTCATTGTTAGGATGTATTTATTAAAAGTACTATTTATATTTCATAGATGCCCTGGTGAACCATTATTGAATTTTTCTTATATCTGAAGATTTTGACTTTGTTAATGATGTTATATAATATATAGCAGGTGCATAGGTACCTTAATTAGTACATTTTAGATACTATTTTGAAATTGACATGATGGCTATTTTTTTAGATAAAACAATTATTTTGTAAAAAATTTAAAAAGCTTTGTAGAAATAATTCAATGCAAAAATATATCATATGTAAATACTAGGAAAAGTTAATGCAGACAAAAATCAAAATATCCCTTTTTATTATGGCAGGAGTCTAGAACTGTCTACATATCAACTGTTCTAATTTATGAGATTTGTAATATAAAATAAAAAAATTTGTAAAATTTGAAATACATACGCTGAGATAGTAATGGAACATTGAAAATTTTCTAACAAATCAAGTTTTTTTTCTATCTTAAACGGTAAAATAACAATAAAAATAGAAATATCACGTAATGATGATATGGACTTCATTTAGTGTCGTAATCCGTAACGTACTGGAAAACGGTGTTTAGCTACATCTTCACGCTGTCACATTTATTTAGTTAGCAAACTACATCTTAGAAAATCAATATTTGTAGGATTTATGTGTTAACAATATGTGCTTGATTACATTACAAGTAACTGTATAATCTAATAAAAACTACCGCCGACCTGAAGGTATTTTTACCAAAAGTGTTAGAAATAGGAGATTGAATGGCCGGATCTATTTTATATAATTGACATATTCGTTGTTCCACCTGAACTAGTCACTGCAGCCTTTCAAATATTGCTGAGGGAAAATTATACACTTGTAACTTTTGTGCGGACATTTTAAAGAGATAGTTTTAATGTAAAGCCATCATGTTTATAAGTTACACATTTATTAGGTTGTCTCCCTTTGTATTGGTATAGCTAAAACCCAATAACCGTACCGTATTGAAAAACGGAAAATCGATAAATACCGATTGACTGGTATATTGATCCAGCCCTACAAATAACCATTATTAATGATAATATCCAAAATACCCCCTTTATAATATAAATAAACTTCTACCATATAGGGGGTATATTTTGGATATTATAGACCTGTATATTTTGGATATTATTGTTAATATTGATAGAATTTCAATTTCCTGTGGAAAAAACATTCAAAATTCTAATCTCTAGCATGCCTACCAAACTTTATGATGAACAATGTCTTTTGTCTGCCCATTCATAAATGATATACAATTCTGGTAAAAACCAATTAAACACTGTAAAGTACTGGTTTGGGAGATAAACTCGGCCGAAAATCAGTGTTTTGGGGGCATATTTCATTTATTTGTTTACGTATTCTGATGAATCTTGCACCATAATAAACTTCAGCTCTTCGATATTCCGGTATCACCATAAAAGTTATATTTAGAAACATAATGGGTAATTTTGAGAGGCCCTGGAAGAGGTACGTAAAAGGGATATTTTTAACGCGCGCGAGTAGATAATTCCGGCTCTTTGTTTTTCTTCTTAAATGAGTAAGTTAAAACGTAAAATAACATGTTTAGACATTTTATTATTTCTTTGCTGTTCAATCATTAAAGGGAAAGACAAGGTTAGAAAAAAAACTTGATTTCAGAGAAAGAATACTATAAATAATAAATCTGCAAATTTTCTGCCGCCAAATAATGATATTAAACAAATGATAACAAAATTTAAATCGCTTAATCACTGATTTCTACAAATCAGTAGACGCGGCCATGTTTGTGTATTGGCCTTATAAAAACAGGTGCGCGTGATGTCATTTCCCCACATCTAAATCTAGTAGAATCGTAGCGAAATATTTATGTAATAAAGTATTAACCAGACAAATTAATTTTGACAGGAGGTGTAGAGGAGATTCTTTTGGTTCAAAATACGTAAAAATATCCAAAAATAATAAATAATGAAAAATAAAGAAACAAATAAAAAAAATCAACGTCTACCGGTCACACAACTTCAGGCCAGTGATGCCCGTTACTATGTTCATTAAAGTCTCATCTTAATGTTATTAAACAATATTTCACAGATTTAATAAATACACATGTTACTTTTTAACAAAGTTTCACAATCAATTAATGCAATTAAATAAACAAACGCACCAACGAATAATTGGCTGTTAATTATTGAACGGTGATAATTGTCATTATTATAAAATTCCTACTAAAACGTGTTCTTAATAGTACATGTAATTAAATGTTTGCAGTTTGATTCTGGCTTTCAAATTAAAAGGCGTGAACATATGTTATAATTGATGTACACATTTCAAAAATATAAGCAACTCTTTTGAAAGGTAAATTGTTAACATGTCTGTCAACGTATGATGCTGCGTGGTATTTATTTACATCGTAATCGTTGCCCTAATATAAACTGCAGGCAAAACATTTTTATTGGCTGCCTCAAAAATCTAATTTGCATTAATTTATTCACACAATTGCTGGTTCTTACTACTTATGTCTAATACTGTGCATTATCTATTTTAATTGTACCTAATTTGCACCAATATGTTCGTGTCACACTGTGTACTGACGATTTTTATTGCTCCTTGTATGCCTATGTGCCGACAGACCTTTTGATCATGCACAATGTTGCCCTGATTGGTTAATCACCCTTGTCAAATATTCTAATGAAGAAATGACATCTATTTTTTACGCTTCATCAGTGAACTGAATGACCTCAGGGGAAATTAAGTTCCACACCTTTCAAATTATACTGTAAATAACAGCATTTCATAAAATAGCAACACATTTTTTTTTCAATTATCATTTTAAATATTAAGTAGATTTATGATTTTTTGTTTTATTGGATTAAATTTACGGTAGTAGAAATGCGTATCTGTGTGGGAAAGGGATTGGGTAAGTAGATAACGTGGAAAAAAAGCTATAAAGAACTGGATAAACCGGAGAATATGCGTAATTACAGGGGAATTGGCAAACTGTTGCTGTTGGTTCCAGTTTTGACTGGATGCCTAAATAACCTAACGGACAGTTTTGTTTTTCATACGATATTAGTCTGGCTGCCGATTTTCCTGCGCCATTCTCATTTTTAGCGTCGCGTCCTCAGCAGATCTCTGCATATTGGATTTAGTTGATAATTTACGCTGAAAAAAGATAATTTGACCGGCGATGTATACTATTCGGAAAGCTTGTCTATCGAAAATTAAGTACAAAATAAAAGGATATATCGTCAATTTGAAGAAGTTTCTTATAGTACGATGGTTTATCTTTGAAAATTAAACAGTCATTGCTTAAATCATGTGGTGGGATCATCAGCAAGCTTGAAAATCGGACAAATGATAATTAATGTCTCGGCGTCTTCAATTAATTAATTAAAATAATTCAGTTCCATATGATGTTTTCATAAATAATATATAATGTACGCAATAAGATTAATAAGTTCTTCATCAAGATATATTTAGTTGTACCAGCGTGTACACCTATACCGGAAGTGGGTGTAACACGTCACATTCTCGGTCTCGTCTGTCTCGCGAGAGTGACAAAACGCCAAAATGGCGGCACCCGTGAACTTAATTCTCAAGTAAAAAATAGTGTCTTAAAACACGAATTTCTAACTTAAACGGTTGATTTCAACAGAAAAACTGTCATGGTCCCTCTTTTTGATTCATGAATATTTATATTAGACAGACATCAATCCATCCATTCTTATTCCTTTAATGTAAAATAAAAAATATTTGTTACCAAAATTGTTGAGCATTACATTAGTATTTATATAATGAATATCTATGATAACACGATATTTATATGCAACGGACTATGTAACATATTAATCATTTTTACGTAAAAACACATGCATTATCATTTATTAACGTATAACGAAATATGTAGTAAAGGAATTGGTGATTCAGATTTATTTTTGCTTAGCTTAACAGAGTGAAGAAGAAATTAATTTAGTGGTATTCAACTTACACATTAACATATAAAAGGGGCATTTAACATCAGTCTTTCAATCCATTTCACTTAAAGATTACAATTCTGTAATCAGCCTTTTTTCTGAGTTAGCAAGAATTTCATCTACAAAATGTATACGTAAACGTCGTCACCTTTACCGGAAGTCGGTCAAAATATAAAAGTACCCCTGTGCGAGCCTCAAAATGAGCACTTGCTGCACATGCGCACAACAATGGGATTCCCGTACTTTTTATAGGCATGTTTTGTAAACAAACAGGTAAAAGTGTGTGTTATTTTTTAAATACCTTACCAAACTTGACAACATTTCAAGATATTGTCGAATTCCAGCGATAGTATGAGATGGTGAGCTTAATTAGATTAAAAATTCTAATAATTCGATTTAATTATAAAAAGCCGAGTTTATCAACCAGCCGAAGTTATCTCCCCAACCAGTATATATAAGAATAGCTGGTCATCAGATGTCTACTTGTTCATCTTCACTTGCTGCATTTCTTCCTTGGACGCCCTTTGAATGCTTTGCATCAATGCTTTTCTTGTAACATAATGGAAAGCATAATTTTCGACACTCGTCCGAATTATTTTATCCGAATGACTGACAAATTTTCAATATTAAAAAGATATGAACAATATTGTATGTCATTGTGCAAAAACATAAAATTATTGAAACAATGTAAGATTTTAATCTCACAAATGGTTCGTTCTCTTGCTTCCATTCGGCATGAACTGTCAGGTCGTATAAAATGTTGTCTTCACCATTTTCCACGTCCGCCGTCGCCATCTTGGGAAACCCGACAAATTTATTTTTAGCAACAGATTGCCGGTCGAGACCGGTGCGACACGTAATGTGTCTCCTATCGGAAATTCCCGGTCAATCGCAACTACTCGGCCCTTTCCGTCAGTCTTCGGATAAGGACAACTCTGACAACTTTAACGCAACGGTTACTTCCCATGATTATGGTGAAAAATATGAATAGACCAACCACGGTGGCACAATACGGTGACATGCGTGTGTTTTCATTTACCTCTCGCGCACGGGATACTTAGTTCATGGCTACGGGTTACTAAGTGGTGCGCACGAGATAATGGTGCACACGAGATACTATGTCGTGGCCACGAGTTACTGAGTCGTGCGCACGAGTTAATGAACCAGTCATATTACACTATTATTACATATGTAATTTTTTTAAACTTAGACAATTCCTGGTTCAAGTTTTATAATGCAACATTAAGCTTTGAAACTGATGATATTCACATTAAACACCACTTAATTATCTCGTTCGCACCACTTAGTTACTCATGACCACAACATAGTATCTCGTGCGCACGATATAACACGATATAAATAATTAAAAAAAAACACATGTCACCTCTGTGACACCGTAACTATGTGCTGTGTGCAAGCATTTTTATATTTTCGGAACTAATCAGTAAATCGTAAGGTTATGCAGGGTCTTTCAAAATTTCTATTTGAAAAGCCCTGAGTTATGGCACCATTTAAGGTTTTGCATGGATCTGGTCCAAGTCTGGATGATGTTGACTTATAAGTCCCGGAACCGGCTCTAATTTGTTCATAGGCTACATGTTCAATATTAAGATTCCGACAAGATAGAATAAGTCCAGCTTTATCAACGTGAGTAAAGTAAATAAGTTGAACTAGTTATGACGACACACAAGTTGGCCATACTGTACAAAAAGTCTTAAATCATATTTTCACATAAACACATTTGCTTTCTAAATTCAAAACAATCATATCACACAAATGTTGACTCTAACAGGTCACCATAGTTTTTGGAGGAAAGATATCGTAAGTTGGTACATTATATTCAGGACATGTTCTATCTTCACTTGAGTCGAACCAGTTCGTTAGATAACAGGTTATCACAATGGCGACACCAACGGCAATAAAGAATCCCGAAATTAAATACACTCAGGTAAGTTCTGTTTAAAACCATTTTAGACTAAAATATCATGTTTTATATTTAAATTAATTTGTAGCGCACTTTGTGCAGTAACATTAAATTCGCGGCAACGTAGTGCACTAAACTTCCTGTGTTGTCTGTCATCTTCACGACTTGACGACTACAGATATCTAAGCATATTTTACATTTCAAAGATAAGCAGGCTTGCAAACATACATTTTTTATATTCGGCAATGCAACCTAGTAATTTGTCCATATACCTAGTGTTTATCATGGGACGTGATAATTATTATGTTCGAGTTGCATTCACTATATGTTAACCTTTTTCTGTCCAAAGCAAAACAGTTTTTATCTATAATATTCCGTGTTCTGGCAAACAAAACAAATTCCATTTTTATTTCATTCCATAGATTTTGATCAACAATGAATGGGTGAATTCAGTTTCTGGAAAGACGTTCCCGACGATTAATCCGGCGACTGCACAAAAAATAACCGACGTACAGGAAGGTGACAAAGTAGGCTAATATTTTAGTTTTTAGTACTTGAAATCTTGATGTCTGAATACATTGTCTAGATATTACTCAGTACTCATTAAGAAAATTGATTTCCTTGTATTTATCTCGACGGCTTCACAATCACCACACCTGTTTACAATATTATATTGTCAGCCTTACTGGCTTCCTTACAGGTTCCGTGATATGATTGCCATTTAAGAATTGTGCTACATTTCACAAATGTAGGTATATTTCATCTATCATAAAATAATATTAAATAAAAAAAGATTGGGGGGAGGGGGTAAATTTAAACAAATAAATTATATTGAAATGAGAAAAATCAATTAATGAAGAATTAATAGCTCAAGGTATACTGAATTTCATTAAGAGTTATTTACGTGACATACATGAAGATAAATAATACTGAAGTATGTTTGTGAATTTGTATACTTTGTTGTAACATGACCTGTTTCTTTTATCTAGTAATGTGGTATGTTCTATGGGAGACATGTAGGGTCATCTTTAATCTTGCAAATATATGAGCCGCGTCACGACAAAACCAACATGATGGGTTTGCGACCAGCATGGATCCAGATCAGCCTGCGCATCCGCGCAGTCTGACCAAGATCCACGATGTTCGCTTACAAACCCTATTACAAGTAGATGAACTGATAGCGAACAGCATGGATCCTGATCAGACTGCGCGGATGAGCAGGCTGGTCTGAATCCATGCTGGTCGCAAACGCACTATGTTGGTTTTGTCATGACGCGGCTCAATTATAAATATTTTAGTTGAGACCAGTGATATCATTTAATCAACCTATACATTATAACAGTAAGATATTGGCCGGGTTTTAAGATTGCAGGCTTACAAGTTGAAAGTTTTCTTGTCGAGTGTTGAAGAATAGTCTAAAATGAAGCTTGTTACCTCACCTTTACGTATTGTTACTGTAATGACGCTCGACGAGTAGTTCGGGAAGTACCCTGTAAACAAAAAACATTTAGTACAGTGCATGTGATATGCACCCAGTGTACAGTCAGTTGTAACTCCCGATCCAGTCCATCAGCCAAAATATTAACTTCAGTCTCTAGGTATATAATTTATATATGTTATTTTTCTGGTGTAATTGTGCCGGATAAATGCTGAATGTATTGCTTACGGTCTGCATTGTGATGCAATACATACTGTGACTTTTAGGCTGATGTAGACAAGGCAGTAGCAGCAGCTAAAGAAGCTTTCAAACTCGGATCGCCATGGCGACGGATGGACGCTAGTGAGAGAGGTCGGCTTCTTAACAAATTCGCGGACCTACTGGAAAGAGACATTGCCTATATTGCGGTATGTATGCTTTTTCTTCCGATTTGTAACAACAATAAGCAATGTTAGGCGAAATATTTCATACTGAATTTATTGATCAATTAAAATCTGACATTGAACTACTCAAAATTTCCCCAATGTTTAGTTTAGGTCATGTTAAAGATAACCGTTCAATTTGAATGTACTGAATTAATACACCAAAAGGGACTCGCTACATGTATTTATCATGTTAAGCTTACTCAATAATATAAAATCATTTTTTGCATCATTTAGAGTCTAGAAACACTCGACAATGGAAAGCCGTTCAAAAACTCTGTCGGGGACATCGCCTTCTCTATCAAGTGTATTAGATACTATGCCGGGTGGTCAGACAAGAACCAAGGAAAAACCATGCCAGTCGGTAAAACGTGTTCTTATTTTATTGTTTTCTTTACTCCATGGTATGAAGATGAATTCGAAATATATTTGAACATGTTTTATAACAAATGTAAGCATTTGTTATTTATCTTGTGTTCTTGACCCAGATGATAGGGTATATCATTTATTTACACAGTATATTAAGGGCCTTGATAAATTATCTATACAAGGTTGTTAAAAATATGTCCGTGTTCTGACCTATCATTATTTAAAGGTGATATACCAGGTATTTTGTCACGCACCACTTTAACATAAATGTTTATTTTTTCACGTATACATATATTGTTTTTAAAGAATCAAAATTGAAAGACACACACTTTGACCATTTTATTGTACTGAAACTTCTTTTTATCTGTTCATACATTGTCCTTCTTGGTGGGCTTTGTAGGAGCACATTTGTCTCGGAGCACATTTGTCTCACGAGGTGTGACCGATGTGCTCGTAAAAATTCATGTTTGCTACAAAATTGGAAATGAGACAGATGTGTTCGACACACAATAGAAAGGACACTCGATTCAAAGCACATTTGACTCACATTCTTCCAAAAGACAATAATTATGCCCGTCCGTATACCGGCTACAAGTAATAATATTGTTATGTGTTTTCTGTATTCATAATACCGTTTTTAGGTCTCTTCCGGTCAATCAAAATTCACATATCCATCTTTTTTTAAATGCATGTACATGTACATACACATATGAAATATTTTTCATTGATTACAATTAAATTACATCTATTTATTTTAGATGGGGACTTCTTCGCCTATACTCGACATGAACCGGTCGGAATTTGCGGACAGATTATTCCAGTAATTATTTTGAACATATTTATTTTGATGTATATTGGTATACCTGGGTTTGGATTGCTGTTAAATATGACATGATGCGCAGACATTAATCTTGAAAGATCCTTTATGTACAGATCTATATTTAACTTATTTAGTAAATTATGTTTGTAGGCGTTTTTTAATTATCATGAATCATATAATGTATTGTTCGTTTCAAATGGTTACCAATTTTAAGTAATGTATGTATACGGTATCATAAATGATAATTACTTACATTATACACCCATTAAACTTGTGAATATTCTACATTTACAGTGGAATTACCCAATGTTGATGTTTTCATGGAAGATCGCGCCTGCAGTTGCTATGGGTAACGTGGTAATAATCAAACCAGCGGAACAAACACCACTAACAGCATTATATGCCGGAGCTCTAACCATTGAGGTGGGTGTCCTTTATCAAATTCGGCTCATGGAAGTTTCATTACCGATTTGTATGATCCTTTATGCCACCTTTAGCTATCTGTTTTTGCTAGGGAATTCGTCTGTCTGGGCTTTTATTCTGTAACGTCAACTTAGAACATGTTGTCAACAGAACAAAGAGTATTGTGCAATTTAGCTGTTTTTGAACAAATCATACAATTCTATTGATGCCATTACATTTAATCTTTCGATTTATTCCAGGCCGGTTTCCCACCTGGTGTTGTTAACATGGTTCCAGGGTACGGACCTACGGCTGGAGCTGCATTGACAAAACATGCGGATGTTAATAAAGTTGCATTCACAGGCTCCACAGAGGTACGGTGCTTCTTCCTCACATCATTATAATAAATGTCTTATCTTAACAAACTATTGGCTTGATTTTGTGCCTATTGTATGCAACGCATGCTCGGTTGTTAGCGCATTTGTTGGATTGACTTTAAGTTTTCTCAAAATCCTTATACATTATCTGATAGGTCACAAGAAAAACATAGGAAACAAAAAAAGAAAAGTTATTTCGATTATTGATATATATTTGTTACATGTATGCATGTGTTTCCGTAAATTGTTTTTAAAGAAAACCTCCACATTTATCGGGTTTAACTCGTATTAACTATGATCATTATATAGGTTGGTCAGATCATCATGCAGGCTGCTGGAGCTTCCAACCTGAAGAGAACAACTTTAGAACTCGGAGGGAAAAGTCCAAATGTCATATTTCCTGATGTTGATAGTAAAGAATTAATATTATTAATTTTATTTTCATGCAAATGTGTTGAGATTATTTTTATCTTAATGGATTTGGCATGTTTTAGTTCATGACATGCTACACATGCTTTTGAGTTACAAAACATTTAGGTATGATCTATTGTATGTATTTTATGTAACATTCCTTAAGAGAGTTCCTCTATGGTCACTGACCTAGGCAGTATGACTGTCGCAGACATTGACATTACGAATGTCACTGACCTTGACATTATGACTGTAATTATCTGGCCTTGACATAACGACTTCACTGATCTTGACATTACGACTTTACTGACCTTGATATTACGACTTTACAGACATTGACATTACCAATGTCACTGACCTTGACATTATGACTGTAATTATCTGGCCTTGACATAACGACTTCTCTGATCTTGACATTACGACTTCACTGACCTTGACATTACGACTTCACAGACATTGACATTACGAATGTCACTGACCTTGACATTATGACTGTAATTATCTGGCCTCGACATAACGACTTCACTGATCTTGACAATACGACTTCACTGACCTTGACATTACGACTTTACATACATTGACATTGCGAATGTCACTGGCCTTGACATTATGACTTTAATTATCTGGCCTTGACATAACGACTTCACTGATCTTGACATTACGACTTCACTGACCTTGACATTACGAGTTCACAGACATTGACATTACGAATGCCGTTGATCTTTACATAACAACTCCACTGACCTTGACATTACGACTTCATTGACATTACGAATGTCACTGACCTTGACATTATGACTGAAATTAACTCGCCTTAACATTACGACTTCATTGGCCTTAACATTACGATATCACTGACCTTGACATCACGACTTCACCGACCTTGACATTACGACTGTACCTTTGAGTCAGATCGGTTAGTAACACATCTATAAATTTATTTTGTGGTTGTAATGAATACACATTACTAGGAAGTTATTTGATCATCATTCCTTGCGACCGATTGTCACAGAAATAGTACGTTTAAAACTGTACAAATAGTTCGTTTACAGCAACAGTATTTATATATTGTTCTTAAATGTCCGCCTTAGTAAATCATAGGAAAATAACAAATACTCAAAGATCGATCTATAATCAAACTTCTTCAGTTGATTCAGTTGTGGAATTTGCAAACGAGGCAGCGATGACAAACATGGGTCAATGTTGTATTGCGGGGTCAAGGACGTTTGTGCATGAAGATATCTATGACGAGTTTGTTAAAAAATCTGTTGAACGGGCAAAGAGAAGGACTGTTGGTGATCCATGGGATAATCCGGAGAACGGACCTCAGGTACGTCCATAGGTGCTTCAACTTCGTCATGATGCACGAATCACTGTGTTCATTGTAGTAAGATTACACGATTTCGAAACTAAACATGAAAGAAAGATTTAAAGACAGTAAGACAGTAAGACAAACTTTATTTATAGTCGGTTATGATTAACAGTACAAAACATAAGCTTTAAGCTTGTATCCGACATGAACAAAATATAGAAAATAATAATAAGAAACAAAGAAACAAAAACAAACAGACACCATAAGATAATAATACATACAATTAATTTATATAGTCATTGTAATGAAATCTGAGCATTTACAATGAAAATATAGTCATATCTATTAACAGGGTTTTTACATATATACAGATACATAGTAACATTAATTCAAGGAAAAGACTAAATTTATTTACAAGCAAAAAACAGGAATCAAGTAAAATAGAACATAAACGATTAGATGCACATAGAGCAGCACACTTGTCATTACTCCCATGTTTTCAATTAGTCGTTTAAACTCATTTAAGTCAGATGTACATCTTAGATCATTAGATAAAACTATTCCAGATTTTTAGATGCTTCAAAAGCGAAAACTCTTTTTTACCATAATTGGTTGTGCGTACTTTAGGGACATCTAAAGTTTTTTGGTATCTAAAAATTATATAATTTGAAGAACGCACATAGAAATAACAAGTTCTTGAACATACTTAGGAGAAATCGCTGTTCAGACATTTAAAAAAACTTCAATAGCGAGTTGTTTAATTCTACTGATATGGGACGTGAAGAACATATTAGTCAGTTTAAGCAGGTCTTCAATAAACTTGATGAAATAGTCATTAAAAAACAATTTTCAGAGCTCTATATTGAAGTTTTTCCAACTTGTTTTGTGTTTGTCCTTACTACAAAAATGCCAGACTAAAGGGCAAGAAATAAAAGTTGGATCTGATAAAACTTTTGTATATAAAATTTTTGCATCCCAGATATTAAGTAGAGGACATAGTCTGGTTAATACATTTATTTGTCTTGCTGAACTTTTTACAAACATTTGAGAATATGAAATCAAAATTTAATAGGGAATCTATTTCAATACCTAGAAGTTTTTACAATGAGATTCACAAGGAATAGTGGCATCAAGAATCTGGAATTTAGACACAATTTTACAGGTTTGTTTGGCCTTATACATTTAGCCTGAAACTTCTCAGGGTTTGCTTGCATAAGATTGTCTTAAACCATTTAGTCATGACAACACTTTAATCTGTATTGTGCTTTTGAGAATTTCCACATTAATAATGATTAAATGAGAGGGTATCTGTCCGTCTGCATAATTATAAAACAGAAACCCTTTTTAATGAAATAAAATATATCATTTAAGAAAATGTTTAAATAAGAGGGACCAAGAATTGACGCCTTGTGGAACCCCTTTGTTTATTTCATTCCACTCACTACAGATTGTACCTAGTTTTACTTTGTTGCTGTCCTTTTAAACAAATAACTTTGCATGAGAATTAGCAGAGGCATCAGACAGAACCATAGGGCCTTAAGTTTAAGAATAATCAGGTCATGCGGAAGACAGTCAAAAGCCTTAGACAGATCCATGAGTATGGCAGCTACATATTTCTTTCTATCTAATGCTCTCTCCAATCTTCAATGAGGCGCAGTAATGTTGTCTGACAGCCAAAATTTCTACGGATGCTGATTAGAAAGTCATGAAAAATGTTTTCAAAATGTAAGTTAAGTTGACACTAATAGATTTTTTCAAAAAAACTTTTTGAAATGGTAGGTAAGATGCCTGACAGGCCTGTAATTTTTTCTTTTTGGAAAGGATCATCCTTTTTGAACAGAGGTTTAAACTTTGTGCTAGTTTTTAAAGCTTGTGGAATTGAGAGGTTTTTGAAAGCTTTTTATTAATAAGCGAAGTTATAGGATTTGTCAAAGGGCATACGCACCTGCTTTAATTATCTTTGGTGGTAGGCTGTCCACACCAATGGCCTTTTTTGAATTTAAACTTTTCAATAATTTAAAAGTTTGATCAGTGCTCACTGGAGCAAATTGAAAAGTTCTTCTATTGATGGATTGATTTTTAGATATTTGTGTTTATGCTAGGATGTGTTTCATCAATATCAGCATCAAGTTTTTTATACCAATATCACAAGCAATATTCACATAAAAATCATTCAGAATATTAACTTTTTTCCTTTTGGTCTGATTTTAGGGTCTCATTTTCATTAAGAATAATTTTGCTGTCAGATTTTGCTGTAGATTTGATGTCAAAAAACGGTTTAATTGTTGGCCAGAAGTGGCTAGATTTTTTGGACTTCATTACACCTTTCAAAGAAATATTTTTCCATTGACTCTCTTTTTTAGTTTTTGTGACCAAAATTTCTTTGTTTGGCGGAACTTTTTTCCCGTTTTTGTTATTACGGTTTTTTGAAATAGCAATTTCTTAGTTGCTGTTTTTTTATAGATAGATTTTCTCAATTCCGCCATTCATGAAAGGAACTTTTGTGATCTTAATTTGCGTTCTTTAATTGGAGCAAATAGTTCATCTACAACTTCTTCTGAAAAGTGTTTCAAAAGCCCAGTAATGAATCATCAATATCATCAAAAATATCTGCAATATGTGAATGGAAATTTTGCTAAAGTTCAGTGTTGAAAACAGAAATTAAAATGTTTGTATGATCCTAAATTTAACATATTTTGGTTTTGTTTGACAACACTGCTTCTTTTATTGTAGTAGCTACTAAGATTGTGACAGTCACTGATGACCAACATCTAAATTTTTCTGTGTTACAAATAAAATTTGATCTGTTAGTTAAAAAATAACATGCAATTGCCGAGGGACTTGCATTTTTATAAAGCATGTGTTTCCTTTTACAACATTTTTCAAGGTTATATGTATTCACAAATATCGCGAAGGGTGGATGATTTTTCAAGCCTGTTCATGTCAAAGTTCAGATCACCAAGAAAGGCAGGATGTTATCATTATTGTCTTAAAGTTCTATCAAGAACATTAGTGAAGGTTTTTAGTAAAAATCCACATTTTTGATATAGGAGGTTTGTAAAGAGCCAGGATACACCACTTTTTCTTTTATTTAAAGATAGTTCAAAAACACATGCATTCAAAAAATTTTTGGCTCCAGGTCTTTCTTTCTCCGGAAATGGCAAATCATCACGTGAATAAACAAAAATTCCCCCTCCAAATTTATTGCGATCCCCGGCGAATCAATTTTGTATCCATTATAATGGAAAATGTTGCTATTAAAGCTATCATCCAGGCTTAGTTTCAGATAAGATAAATATATCCACTAATTTTCTCTTCAAAATTTCATGCACTTCTAAGTATTTTGATTTAAGACTGTTTTGATTTTAAATGTGCTATAAAGGACGTTTGAGATCTTTTTGTCGTAATTCCACTTAATTTTTTTAGATATCACTGTTTACAATCTTCACTATTTAATATGACGGATTTGTTGTTATCGATTGTTGCTGCATCATCTGAGGATAAGATTTGCTCTGTTGAAACTGAGTTGGTTGGTGTACTTCCATGTAAAATGAAATGGATTGACCTGTTGATGATGGTGATTGACCTGTTGATGGTGGGAATTGACATGTTACGGGATAAGGATCTACTCTCAGGAGATCCATGAGAAAGATGATTGTCCTGTTTGATGAACTAAGAATTGATCTGCTGAGGATAAGAATTGGTCTTTTGTGGATTTACCTGTTGTGATTGGGGATTGACATTTTGATGATGGGGACTGACTTGTTGCAGATAAGGATTGACATGCTGATGATGGGGAATTGTCCTGTTGGATTTTGAACTGTGGGGAATGAGGATTGATATTGTTGAGGATGGGAAGTTACCTGTTTGGGATGGGGATTGACCTGTTTGCTGATGGGAGTTACCAGTTGGGGATGGGGATTGACCTGTTGCTGATGGGGAGCGACCTGTTGGGGATGGGGATTGACCTGTTGCTGATGGGGGCTACCTGTTGGGGATGGGGGGGGGGATTGACCTGTTGCTGATGGGGAGTTACCAAAATGGTGGGGATGGGGATTTACCTGTTGCTGATGGGAGTTTCCTGTTGGGGATTGGGATTGACCTGTTGCTTGATGGGGAATTACTGTTTGGGATTGGGATTGACCTGTTGCTGATGGGGAGTTAAACTGTTTGGGATGGTGATTGACCTGTTGCTGATGGGATTGACCAGTTGGGATGGGATTTTACTTGTTTGGGGACTGGTATTTACCTGTTTGATTAGTGGGGATGTACTTGAATGGGATTCTTCTGTTGAAGATGGGTATTGAAGCTTTTGAAAGACTGGGAATTGTCGCTGTAAGATAAGAATGGGAATAATACGTTTTTTTGAGGTATGGGGATATGAGTTGTAGTGAGAGAAATAGGTTTCCTGTTGATGTGTGCTGAAATGATTCTCGGAGAGCTCTTTCCCTGAGTTGATTTTTGGTTCTCTGGGGTTTTGGAACCTCTGTTGCATTTGCGGGCATTGAGAGTAATGTGGAGGATATGTTTTGGTTGTTGAGCTGTCCTGGGAAAATTTACATCCTCAGAACTTTCATATGGTAGGGCAAGTGCCGAGTATATGGCCCTTTTGATCTGTTTACCTAAGATTGCTGCTCCCGCGTCCTTTAGTAAGGTGTACAGCATCTTGATACAACTGATCATTAACTGTCCCTTGATACATAACAGCAGATGTATTATCAAGAAATGTGGAGATCTTTACGCTTACAAAGATTCTTAATGGATGTATTCACTTTTGTGTCTATGATCTTTGTTGCAAGATTATCTCTGCATTTTTGGCAGCACTGAGCAGAAAAACTATCACCTTAGCATCGCTATTGTTCTTTTAGGAGCTGAATTTGTTAGATCATTTAGTTCATCAGTTATAAGATTTTTCCGTTATCCCCGTCTGAGATGTTTATTTATCCCTGCATGTATGACAAAAACGTCACAACTCCTTCAGAATCCTTTTTGTCATCTGAAACTCACAATTTATTGGTTATGTCACAGATCTTTGCCACTGGGTGTTTATCGGATTTTTGTATTATTTTACTTCCACTCATTTTTTTCGGCTTTAGCACTTTTGTCACAGAATCACCAAGAATCAGAACCTCATGTTTCTTTTGACCCCGAGTTTTCCTTTGTTTTTTCTGTTGAATGTTTTTGATCCATTGTTTTTTGTCTAATATTTCAGATTTTTTCTGTTGGTGCGACTGAGGCGTTTTCAGCCATGTTATCCAACTTGAGAAGAAAATTTGGGCATCAAACGCTTGTATGCATCTGTTTTTAATTCCATGTTTTCAGTTACTATTTTCTTGTAATTTCTTATCTCTGCTTGAAGGAGAATATATGTTCAGTGCTAGAAGCAAGATTCTCTGTTCTGTTCTTAAAGAGTCGATTGTCATTGTAAACTCTGACATTGTATTCTTAAGTTCCTCTATGTATTTTGAATGATTTCACTGGTAAATGTATCATTTTGTTTTGATGATATCTTTCCTTTCAGAGACTTATTTTCTTGTTTTAATGAATTGTTTGATTTTTTCATGGTTTCAATTTCAGCGGTTAGGATTTGAATTTCAGCATTTAAGTCTGAGGTCTTTGATTGGTAATCTGAAATAGTCTTTCTCTGAAATTCAGCTTCGTTTTGCAAGGATGCAATTTGCTGATCTTGACTAGCATGCTTTATTGAAAGACTAGCATATTTATGTTGAAGGTTGTCGTTTTCATTTTGCAGTGTTTCATTATCTTTTTTCAACTTTTGAAATTGCTGAATATTGTTTTGATTTTCATACATTTTAGGGGTCTCATAAAAATTTACACAGTCAATCTGGGGAACACTATCCATATTGATAATTTCACTGTTATTATTAAAGGATATATGATCTGTAGTGTCAGTAGAGACGGGCACTGAGGTTTCCGAGTTTGATTTGTCTATGATAGAAAGAAAACAGGAATTAGCCAGCTTAAAGCTCTGCTCTGACTCAGTATCCAAGGATTTAGGTGAAGTTTTCTTCAGATTCACATTTTTAATCCCCAAATGATATTGGTGGATGAGCGTACCCATTTGCAGTTCTGATGAAAGAATTCACTGCTTGTTTCTTTTGTTGCATTTTGTGAAGTTTCTGTTTTGGTTTCTTCCCTGTTTCTGCTATAATAGATCGTTGTCTTTCAAGTTCTTCAAGATCTACTTTAGGTCCACCCCTCTTTTGAATCTTTTCTGCTTTTTTCTTTTCTTCTGCTAATTTTACAAGAGCATTTAATTCAGGAGGGCCAAAAATTAGGTCTGAGAGTAAGTGTTTAAACCCTCTTGGTGTAGATTTCTGACCTTTGATGTTTGGGGCAGCAGGTGTTGAAGTCTGAACTGGAGACTCAGCTACTGAGGTCAGCCCAGATGAGTCCAGTTCATCTAGGAGAGTGTCAGGAGGACTTTCTGGAAAACTGTCAATGTGAGAGGCAAGAGATTTGAATATTGTATTTTGTCCACAATATACTGCCATGCCCTGAATAAGTAGGGTTGTTTTGTTATAATACCATGTGATCACCACTTTGAAGGATGACAGTTCTGTTGTTATAGAAATGCCTGTGTTATCAATGTTGGGAACAAGTGTATATTGTTGTTGTAGTATTTCTCTAATTCTGTCACTTATTCCTTTCTTAAAGATGTTATTGTAACATTGTTTCCACAAGCACTTGTTTTTACAGAGAAATATTGGCTTTCTGCTATCTCCAGACAGTCTGTTAACACTTCATTGAAAGAAAAGCCTTCAAAATTAGAAATATTTAAATCCATTGTTTGATCCATTATCACCTTTTAGTCAGCTATTGTTGTCACAAAGGTTTATAAATACCTGATGTATTTTAGCACTATATAACTATTATACCTGTTTTTACAGCAAATATTTGTAAGTGATAAGTATTAATCCTTTGGTAAAAAATTATAAATATTTCCAGATTTTATACAAATTTATGATTAGTTTTCACCAGTTTTTTGCTTAATTGCTAGTCAGATCACTTTTTCATTTTAAAATTAATATCCAGAGATTTATGAGGTTCAATAATATCCAAAAATCTCCAGAGAATTGCAATGTTTTATTGCTTAAATAAAGATAAATCCAAGAGCAGATTAAAACACATGTTGACAGTTCGAAGTTGGTTGGAATTGATTTAAAACTAGTCATACAAATGTTACGAAAACACACCATGTGGTGAAACCACGATGAAACACATGCAATGTTTTAATCACAACATAACCAGATTGAGTAAAATTGCGGAACAAATTCAGTATTTTCTATAACTTTTAAAACATTTTTTTTTATAAAACTAAAGCGTAATTCTAACCCTCGTGCATACTGTAGTTTTATTTATTTAGTTCAATGGGATTTTATGTAATCCTTACTTAATTAAAAAAAGTAATAATAATTTCTCGATTTAAACTTGTTATAATGGTGTTATTCTGCGACAATAAACACTATTTTCAAAACTGCACTAATCAAAAGCATTGTAGATATAGTAGAATATGTAAAAAAATATATATATATATGAATATAATCTTAACAGATCGACGAAGAACAGTTCAACAAGATTCTCGGTCTAATCAAGGCCGGACAAGAAGACGGTGCTAAACTAGAATGTGGCGGTGGTCGTTATGGTGAAAAGGGCTACTTCATACAGCCGACAGTTTTCAGTGGCGTCCAAGATAACATGCGTATTGCAAGGCAAGAGGTATAGGATCTTTCAACATTTCAAATTATGTCCGTAAAATTGTTGTTTCAAAATATAACATGTATATAAAAAATCACATAAAAAGGGTGGAACATGTAGATTCGTTATTGATCCAATTTCCTTATTGATTTTTTTATAGATATTCGGACCAGTTCAGAGTATTTTCAAATTTAAGACAATGGAGGAAGTTTTGGAGCGGGCTAACGACACGAACTATGGTTTGGCAGCAGCCGTGTTTACTAATGATATTAACACGGCTATGACGTACACACAGGGTGTCAAGGCTGGAACCGTGTGGTATGTTCTATATATAATGTTGTTATTTCTATTTTGTAATTTTTTAAAGAATTTTATTGCAATATTAACTGAAATTTTTATAGTTCAAAGCTAATATGTAGTGCTCACTTCCATTGTTGTATTTTCAGGGTCAATTGTTATGAAGTTGTTAATCCACAAGCACCGTTTGGTGGATTCAAGATGTCTGGATTAGGAAGAGAACTGTAAGTAACATGTTTCTATGAGCAGATTTTATATAACATAATCACATATGCACTATTTATTTATTTGAAAGTGCAAACGTTTTAACATTTTATAACATTTAAATAATGGTTTTAGAGCATTATAAGCGCTGAATGTGAAATAATGCGTCATAAGAGTTGCAAAATGTAAACAAAGTAGTATTTTGACTTCCATAGAAAATATTAAATCACTATAACTGTACTAATTGACAAAACAGAAGCAAAAGATGATTTAGGTAATTGGTTAATGAGTAACTATTGGAAACTATAAAGGACACTAAAAAGGCTTTTGAGAAATAAAAATAAAGCATTTCTGTGGCATAACGGGCCTTTATAATATTAATTAAACAAACATAACGTCAAAATTGTTGATGTCGTTGAATCAAATAATGCTTTACTCGTTAGAGGCCCGCATAATGTAATTTAATTCAATCCGTCCAATAAATTCAATATTGAACTTACACTCATCCAATATTATGTTGACCATGATTATGGCAATTGTGAATGTATTGAAACAAGATAACCGTCTTAACTTTTAATATTGTGTACTAAACTTGTCTCTTTACAGGGGAGAGTATGGTCTAAGTCAATATACAGAAGTGAAAAATGTAAGTCAAGTTTATTTTCATAGTTATTACAATGCCTACATTATTTCAGTAAAATGTTTGAGAAATTAATATTATTGATGCCATTAACGTTGCTTGGTGAGTTTTCAGGAGCCAATTTTGAAATCTTTGACACCATTACAAGAAACGTAAACTTTTAATTTAAACATGCTCTTTATCTGCAAATCTGGAAAACTGGATTCAAACTATTGGTTTTAAACATAATTGTTGTATTAAGTCTATGAAAGAATAATATTTAATCTTGGCCAGTATTTCGTTAGTTCCATTTCTGTCATCTTGTACAAGTATATTATCTTTATTCTGTACAATTCTTTTTTCAGGTCGTGTTCAAAGTTCCACAGAAGAACTCATAATGGAACAGTTTTAAAAAACACGTTATAATATAACATATAAAGAAGTGCTTGAATTATAAAGGAAAGGAAAAGTTACTTTCAACATGTAGCAAGTTTATAAAAATTAGCTTTATAGTGTTGTAAATCTTTAAATTATAGGTTCAAGGGAATATAATTTTGGAAATACAAGATTTTGCACCTTATCACATGATGTGGATGATGATAAGGAATATAATATTATGTTTGAAATTGATACCATAAGAAATAAAAAAATACAGATAAAATACCGAAAAAAAAATATTTTTGAATTTTCCCAGTTGTTTTTTGTTGTTGTTCCATTTTTATAAATACAGACTCGTTCGCACCCATGCAAACATTGTATTTATAGAAGTACGCACTTTTATTGTGTTTCTATTTGCTTTTTGTATTGCTTTTAATGGCATTTTAAAGTAATCTTATATGTATAAAATGTGGGAACATTTAATCAATGAATGCATCGTTTATGATGAAAAAGAAATATGAAAATAAAGTTTGCACGTGATGAAATACAATTATGTAGAATGAAATGCAGTGTCACCAGTTTACAGTACAATATATAGAACTGCAATGTCAGCGTGCTGATCACGATAAACATATAAATCATAGCAATGATAAAGCCACTCATAAAACTCGCATAGAAAAATTAAGAACATACGTTGTTCTTTCTGCCCTGTAATCTGTTGTTTTTTTCACCATCAATATTTACAAATTATCTGCTGGCAATAATTTCCTATTATACATATGTATTGAGGATTTATAATGAACGGTGCAGTGCAAGTTATTGCAGCTGTGCCAATCATGTCATCTTGCGTCAATTTATTAATAAACTTGCATAAGATGTGAAATCTAACTATATTTTAAACTTCGAATTGTTCCCTGTTGTGAGCTTTATTATAAACCATGACAACGCTTAATTATTACGCGCGTGATTGTAATTTTCAAAAACAGTTTAGAGGGAAACAACTTCGATAAAGTCTGGAAAAGGCAACGTTCAGTGAATAACAGCTAGAATGCCGCTTTAAAAGAAACAAACATGCATTTCATTTATAAATAAATGCTTGATAATGATAGTAGAAAAACAAAGACGGAGATAAAATTTTAACTGCATCTAGGTGTAGAGCTTATCGTCTAAAATCCTTATCTGCAAATTAATAAAAATTTTAGGTCAAATAAATAACACAAACTGCCTAAATCAGTGAAAACAACTATGTACATGTATAATTACAATGTATATCATAATCTTAATATCATAGAAATTTATCATGTCATTTATTCACAAGTCTCTATATTCTTTACAAACGTTTATAACAGGTTATAAACAAAAAATATAAAAGAATTGCCATTAATAAGAAGATGTATGTACAGAGCATGCAATCTGCGTAAATATTGTCCTTAAGGCTTAGAGGGCAATCTATGAAGGGGAGGCAACTGAAGCTTAACCAGTCACTGTAACGTAAAAAGTGCAGTTATCTGGTGCAAATCAATGCGAGACATACACGCGTGTTAACAGATAAGGAATACAAAAAGAATACAAAAAAGAAACAACCATCATGGCGAATTTACCAACTGCGATTAAAAATCCGGAAATAAAGTACACTCAGGTAAGAAGTTTAGTTTATGCATGTCTTATGATAATAAACTAATAAGAGGCATTGTTGTCAAAAGAATGTAGTGAAGTAGCACACGCGTTAACAATATAACTTATTATTCGATTAGATTTTACATGATAGAAAAGGTTACCACACATTTAGCTGGCACTGTTGGTGACGCATATTACTGGTTTAGTAATAGAAAGAGCACCGAAACACGAGGCTATCGGATTTGTACGAGGGGGCGTAGCCCCCGAGTATAAATCAGATTGCCGAGTGTTTTGGTGTTCTTTCTCTTTTGTATCATAGTCAAACATAAAAGCACGTTCCCTGTTGTCACAATATGAAACCCCGGCAAAAATGAACCAATGAACGAACATCTGAATATGACATTTCTGTCGCTTTCCCTTTCTCTGCCGTCACAATATGTAAACCCCAGCAAAAATGAGCCAATCAATGGGCATGCTCTGGAGTGCGGGTAACTAATACCTGCACTCCAGTTAACGCACTGTGCATGTATATGTATACGATTTAACTCTGACACATTTTCAACAGAAAGGTCTCCGAACTATGATACAATCAAGGCTAAAAGCTTGCGCGCTATTTAAACGCTGAATATAGCTACATGAATTAATCCAAAGGTGTACGAAATAATTTTTAAGAGATAAATAATCAATACAAATATGATGCTCTGTATTTATTGAGTTACACGGCATAGCTCATACAACAGGAAACTGAAGTTAAAAAAGAACAAACAAAAAATGATCACCCCGTCTGTGGTGTGTGTTTTAAAATAGATCTATATATAGAAGGGGTGATTTTGTTTTGTTGAAAAATATTGTTTTAGCTTTAAATTTCAGTTTCCTGTGGTCATAACTAGATACGCGTTGAGATGCTGTGCTTTTTTGTGTCATAATTTGGCAAGTCAAAAAATATTTTGACTATTGGCTGCCGCTATATTGGTATTAATAAAAACCTTGGCTCTTTAAAAAAAACTAATGCTGCGCCATTACATTGCAACAAGAAAACAGACGTGAATTTGATTTATAGATCCTTAATAATGCTACAATACTCTGAATAAATTATTATAATGTGTTTAGGAAACATAAAAAAGATAAGAAAAAAAAAAGAGAGAAAAATATCTAACCCTAACCCTAGCTATGTTTAAAGAAGAGACACTCTTTTATATAAGTATTATAATCGTGTATATGATTATCAATATATTATAGTTATATTACAAGTTATTACTATACGTATTACACAAGCAAATGTTGACCAATATTGTTGATAAAGATTTGATTAACAAAAACAGCAGGAAAAAAAACAACAACACAACATACATTGCTCGACGTTATATATTAATTAAAAACATACACGCAAACATCAAGAAGGGTGGTATTATTATTTCACAGATTTTGATCAACAATGAATGGGTGAACTCAGTTTCTGGAAGAACATTTCCGACGATAAATCCGGCGACGGCACAGAAAATTATCGACGTACAGGAAGGTGATAAGGTAGAGTATTTGAGAACTTTTTATAGATCTGTTCTATACAATACATACTGATATAGAATCTATTTTTAGCTATAATATAAACAAAATTTCTGGTGTATGTCCTTGATAAGAAAATAGTGTAAACAAATCATGAATTACAAGTGTGAAGATTATAGGTTTTGGCTGCATTCCATACAGCTTCCATGTTGACTTTCCGACAAGTTTTTTTTTCTGTTTTCAAACTTGGCAGGGAACATGTATTTGTTTATGCCAATCAAATCCTTGATTTGGCTATCGGAACATTTTTAGAGAGCTTAATGTTATCCGTGTTTAATTATTAACACTGAGTTACCTCTTTACATACGAATTAAAATACCTTACTATGTATTTATTATCATGATGCCTATACAGCAGAGGCATGATAAGTTATAAATCGTAAATATGCAGCAGAGACATGCATTGAACTATTCGTTTAATTACATTTTGAATTCCCGAAATGGAAAGAAAAATAGTCATCTTTTTGTCGTGCTTATTCAGGACTGAAGATTCCATGGCTCGTACATTAAAATTTTAGCGATTTTACACTATAGTTACTGTTTTAAAGTTACCAGATCTTTGATAGTAATTGAAATACATTATAAACTTTTTTTATTCCTTCAAACTTAAGGCTGATGTCGACAAAGCAGTAGCTGCAGCTAAAGAAGCCTTTAAACTAGGATCACCATGGCGACGGATGGACGCTAGTCAGAGAGGTCGGCTTCTTTACAAATATGCGGACCTTATAGAGAGAGACATTGCCTATCTCGCGGTGAGTGATGAAACAAAATATCAGTCTGTAGACCAAATATGATTTAGGTCTGTTTGTCGAATTTGTTGTTTTTACATAATAATATCAATTATAGTAATACCATTTATATATCGTTCTTAAACAGTTATGACGTTAAGACCGGATAGTCTTTCTTTTTGTGTTTATCAATTAGAGAACGGTACCATAGGCCTACAGCAACCAGTTTGAGGACGATTTCCCGGAAGTTACGTATTGTTATATAACGATATCTTTGATGAAATAACATTATGAGATATTTTTAAATGTTTATAAAGCGTTTATAAGACACAAACAGTACTGCACGTTGTTCGGTTATTTACAGAGTTTGGAAACACTAGATAATGGTAAACCATTTAAAAGCTCCGTCGGTGACATGAAGTTCGCTATTAAGGTTGTCCGATATTACGCCGGATGGTCGGACAAAAACCAGGGCAAAACTATCCCAGTGGGTATGTATTGTGGCACTGCTTCTGCCATGTTTGAATTAAATATTTTTATAGTTAGCTGTTTTACTACATTAAAACATTAGAAAACATTTTATATTTTCATCATAATAAGAACGAGTGCTCAGTTTTAGAACATAAAGACATGCCAGTTTTATTTTAGCCTCACACTTTATCTGATTTGCTGCTGATAACAATAAGACTGCATATTTAACCAACACGGCCGTATTAAAACATTTTACCTTTTTTGTAAAGTTAACCTACACCAAGTTAAATATTAAATACTGTATCGCAAATGTTAGGTTTATTTTATAATGTACCGGGTCTTAAAATTTAGTCATACTTCCTCATCTTGTCAAGGTGTGTTTTTATCCGAGTTAAAATAGAGGGTTGTTGTCTCATAACGCGCATACATACATTTTAAAATGAATTAATTATTTCCTTCTTTACTAAATAGACATAACATTATACACAACATTAATTCACAAATGTAAAATGCTGTGTCAACTTTATTTCATTCTAGTACAGGGAAATGTATATCATGTTTTACCTTAAAAAGAGATAAATGGAAAATACATTTACAAATAAATGATGTAATGAACTTGAGAATAACACAAACGATACAAAAAATGTGTGACTTTTGTAACATATTCTATCTTATTTTGATTGCTAACGGTATATTCACCGGTCTGGTTGTATCATTTTAAAAGTTCATTGTGTTTGTAATAGGATGGGTATTTACGGTAATCTAAGTTAACAGTTAATCTATAAGTTATGAGTTACTATCTTTCATACTTATTGCATGGTATATACAATGTTATTCTCAACCAATCAAATTGTTGTTTTGAATACTGAATTGTATAAATAAGCTGACTTTGGTAATGTTAGCTAGGTTAGGTACTGTACCTACTCTGGTCAGTACAACAAGGCTTAGCCTTGAAACATTAAACTGGACTTAGTCCTTAACAAACGTTTATGTTTATTATAAACGACCATATATAAAAATATCATAAACATAATCTTAATTAAATAATAAAAATAGTTATTCTTAATATAAAACTAAATATAATTTGATTAGTATTCTCTTTCAATTTGTTAGGGCTTTTCATATATTAAAAGCATTGATTGAAATTGAATTTACTAGTTGTTGTTTTTGTTTAGTCCATCATCTTTATATAGTGACACTTATATATATAAATCTACTGAGCCCTGAGAATTTACTCAAGTTATAATTTGTGATCGTTTGGTCTCCGTGTAAAGCATTGATTCTCATAAGAACCTGACCACTATTACATGTTATTTTATATTTATTTATATTATAGATGGAAGTTATTTTGCATATACAAGACATGAACCGGTTGGACTTTGCGGTCAGATCATTCCAGTAAGTTTATAATATATAAAATACATAACCTACCGGCAATGTCTTTGATCTACATGCATATTCCGGGAAAGCCAGGGAATGATACACATTTTCACAAGATTCTATTTAATCAAATGTACAGTAATGAAAGATGGTTTTCTTTTCTGCAAGTAAAGGTGCATTTTAGACTTTTTACATAAGTTTAAATCTTGAATATACAGTATGTTTCTTACATTATAATAATTGCTTTATTTTCATGCAAGAAAATCACTTAATATGAAATTGACAATCTAAGCATAAAATAAAATTTGATAAACTTTATGATGCATGTGACTCAAATATGCTTTTAAAGTCGGTATAAATCCAAAAGTTGAATAACTTCTTCACATAGTAATTAAGTGCATATTCAATTTATGTGGATTTGGTGTTTTTAGCAGTTGTAATAAAATAACTATGTCACCAGTATAACCATGCTGTCTGGTCGGGTTCTATTCATGACTGGCAGCTCAACTTTTACATTTCTGATTGATAATGAAACCTCAAGTTTCAAAGTAAAGTTTCAAAGTCAATGCAGCAGCATGTTACAGATTAAAAATTTAATTCTTGGTCATAATAAAATATATTTACAGGATAATACCTTCTTACTATCAAGATATCTATTTAACATGCCCAAATACCATTTTAGTGGAACTATCCAGTTTGCATGTTTGTTTGGAAGCTCGCACCTGCGGTTGCCATGGGTAACGTAGTGGTTATCAAACCGGCAGAACAAACACCGTTAACAGCACTGTATGCAGGAGCTCTAGCTGTTGAGGTAAGATACTGTGCTGCATTATTCTGTGTGACAATCACCCACCGTTAGTAGATGAGTCAAAATATTTTATTGCTCTACATTGCTTTTGCTGGTAATATTGTTTAATTTAACTTACACTATTTATCGAGAAATTCTGTACAAGGTTTCTTATAGATGTCTATAAAATTGGTCATGAATTAAGATTTGATAAAGTGTTATGAGTATAAAAGGTCTTATAATTCTAAGTAAAATGATGATGATGATGACGAAGACGACAGTTATGATGACGTCGTTAAATTCAATAACAATTGGAGATGATGATAGTGGTCCTGGAGATAATGATGATTATTATTAAAAGTCAGTTGCTTGCATTCTCTTCTTCCTTTATTAAAATGTAATGTATGTTAATATGAATGTAAATTTGTTTTCTTGTTTCAATATTGCATGAAAAAGTTCTGTCAGAAATAGTTTACGTAAGACAAACATTATTTCAGAGAGTGACTGTATATTTTAAAAACAAATCCCAGTTACTGTGCTACAGTTCACTGACTTTGTTTTTGTATAAAAAATAGAACCAGTCAAGTTAATACAAAAGATAAGTCATACGATTTCAAGGTGCATAATTCTAAACATATATATCATATATTATTTAGTGTGATGTACTTTAAAGTTTTTTAACTTTAATAGTTAAAAACAGTTTTTGATGTGAGGCAATTTTTGTGAATGAAAAATTAAGGTGTAATTCATAATAATTCATATGTAAAAATATTGCACGAAATATGACGTTAGTTATTTCTATGCTATATGGTTACACCTTCACAAACATTTGGCCAGTTTGTTATGGTTCATTAAAATGTTACATAGCACTGTCAAAGTTCATGTATAGGATTTGGTAAAATACCACTTTTCATCATTGTTAAAAAAGTAACTGTTTTAATTGTGTGTTTTAATTTATGGAAACATATCTAATTACCATTGTTTATCTGCATTTGCCAGAATAAACCTTTAAAATAACTTTTCACACTTTTATAGATATATTTATAAGTTATATAAGTTTATAAGTTTTGTTTTTCGTCTTACGTAGGCTGGATTCCCCCCTGGAGTAATAAACATTGTTCCTGGTTATGGACCAACGGCTGGGGCTGCGATATCTGATCATCCGGACATCAATAAAGTAGCTTTCACCGGCTCTACAGAGGTATATCGTCATGTTTTGAATTGTTTATGTTACGTCAGCATATATTTTAAGTTGGGTTTTACCGTGCATCAACACAGTACAGGTCATATGGTGACTGTCTAGTTTTAAACTAGGGAAGGAAGACCCCAGTAGCTTTATTTAGGCATGTATGGGCACCTGACCGAGTAGAACCACCAATGTTTCATAAGCTAGCTGGATAGTTTTACTCGCATGAAAGAATCCAAAGTCTGTGACAGAATTCGAACCCAAAACAGTGAGGGGCAAGTGGTTTGAAGTCAACGACCATAACCGTTTGACCACGGACAGAATATCTTTTAATAAAGGGTAAAAGAATTAACATGTTACAAACACAAACGTTCATATCTGATATTGAATTAAAAGACTGGTTGAGAAAAAACTTTAATCCCTTATCGTATGATAAAATATCATTATCAAAATATCTTTTTATTTCAATGACCCATCCATCCATTGTAGTATGTGTGCCAGCTAGAAAAGTCCGGTATCAACGCTAAATAGTTAAAGAGTGATACATATACACGTATTTTATTGTTAATTCAATAATTTACAAAATGACATCATTTTGTCAAGTTTTGCCAGTTAATCGTACTTTAACATATTTATGTTAAGACAGTTACTTCCCCTTTCTATATAGGTTGGTCAGATCATCATGCAGGCCGCAGGAGCTTCCAACCTAAAGAGAACAACTCTAGAACTGGGAGGGAAAAGTCCAAATGTCATATTTCCTGACGTCGACAGTAAAACTTTCTCATTTTTTTCCTGATTCCTAACGTATATACATGTCACGCCATTACTTTATCATGACCATAGCGATGTATTATAATTATAAAACACATATTCTGGGACTTTGGAATTCTGGTAGAACTGACTATTCTAGAATTGATGAAACGGGAAAGCAACACGAATGTAATTGTGAGGAGCAAGAATACGATTATAGCATACAAAAATACCTTGATGTCAGAACGTTTTTCTTTCACTACTACCTTTCACTTGCATGTACTTCTATGTTTATAGAAATGAAATCTTAAGACATTGAAATTAAATCATAAATGGTACGTTTGAAAGGTAACTTTTATGATAAAGTTGAATTGCGAACCTACCAAAGTTTGGTATTTTTAAATCACGAGCATGTCCAAATTAGAATTAGATATGCATTTATGATCTGCAATGACAACATATTTGTCTACTGGAAATGTACAATATTTTATGAAGCTAGAAAAGATATTGAGAACCGGATTGTCAAAGATATTCCAAAGTAAAATTTCCATGATGGACGTCAAAGTAACGTCTTGTATAAGTTAGCGTCATTTTTGGCCGGGTTGCACTAGTGCAAACCCGGGTTATATTATGGTGAATGTCAAGCGGGCGGGTGGGCGTGGATAATATTTAAGTAACAGTTTTCTCAGCAACTACGTATCACAGCCTCTTGATATTTGGCATACAGCATTGACACATGGTCCCATACCGTGGGATTCGAATTCAGGTGTGTAGCTCATCCACTTCCTGTTTTCCTACTTGGTTAAATTTTGACATTAATGGTGAATGGTAGGAAATTTTCGTAACAGTTTTTAGAAACTACTTATCACAGCCTCTTGATATTTGGCATACAGCATTGACACATAGTTCCATACTGTGGTATTTGATTTCAGGTGTGTAGCTCATCCTTTTCCTGCTTATCTACTTAGTTAATTTTTCGACATTAATGGTCAATGGTAGGAATTTTTCGTAAAATCACAGCCTCATGATATTTGGTGTACAAATGTAACCCGGCCTTTTCTGTCTTTGACCCATTTTTACTTACTTGTAAATTAGAATAACATAAAAGTTGCAATATCATAACCTCCAAAAATTTGTATAGGTTGAACAAAAGTATGATGTAGGTCTATTTGTTTTTAAGTTGATGCAGTTGTTGATTTTGCAAACGAGGCTGCAATGACGAACATGGGTCAGTGTTGTATTGCGGGGTCAAGGACGTTTGTACATGAGGACATATACGACGAATTTGTCAAGAAATCTGTGGAAAGGGCAAACAGACGAACTGTGGGTGACCCTTGGGAGAATCCAGAAAATGGACCGCAGGTTATTATAGCAAATTATGTTTGTTATTTTTGTCTTTTTTCTGACCTAACCTACCCTTTATTATAATTTAGCTCTTTAAATGCATCGTCGGAACCCACGGTACTCATATCCTAACAATCAGGCTAGACTTAATGTTCATGTTTTTGGATTTTTATATTGAAACCGCTAAAGCATAACAAAGTAAACATACCATGTTACATTGTAATTTTACAGATTGACGATGTGCAGTTCAACAAGATTCTGGGTCTAATCAAGGCCGGACAAGAAGACGGTGCTAAATTAGAATGTGGTGGTGGTCGCTGTGGTGACAAGGGTTATTTCATACAGCCGACAGTGTTTAGTGGCGTTCAGGATAACATGCGTATTGCTAGGGAAGAAGTAATTGTCTACATTTGTTTTCTTATGTAAAGCACTTTGCAAAAGTTTTGAAAGGTTTTTGAAATTGTCGTAGATCTGTCTGAAAACGTCAACGTAGGTCTACTGTTTACAAATAGTTAAATAAGCTTAATGTTTCTGATGTGTAAAGGTCAATAAGTAAAATATTATATATGACAAGATCTTCATGGATTCTAACGTCCTGGTAGTTGTGATACAGTGGCCCGAAACATCACATGATATTGATACAATTTGCTTAACACATCAGTTATAATATTATTTACTTATATAACACTTTACTTTTATAACATCTGCATGTAAGGATGCACTTTTTACAGCAAATGAATGAGGTGAACAAGTGTTCATAGGTTACTTTTCTAATTCATTAATTAAATGGTGAATTATAGTATATGTCAAATTGATTAATTTGAAAAAGGTGTATTTTGTAGGGCAGTTACAATATTTGAAGCTTTATTTCAGATATTCGGACCAGTTCAGAGTATTTTCAAATTCAAGACGATGGAGGAAGTTTTGGAGCGGGCTAACGACACGAACTATGGTTTGGCAGCAGCCGTGTTTACTAATGACATCAACACGGCTATGACGTACACCCAGGGTATTAGAGCCGGAACCGTGTGGTATGTTCTATATACTTCATTTTCAAGCAGTTACCATCTTTATATAAATTCATGTATATGAATGTATATATGAATATATATGTTTGTTCTTTTTAATGTTTTAACTTATTGTTTCCATATGTAATAAACAGTTAATACGCTCAATGCTAATCTGCCTCTGGTATCGAAAAAAGATGCGTAATGAAGACTTCCAGTCATATTGCTGGAAGAAAACCATTATATCTTGTTGTGTTTTGTTAAAGCAGTATAATCACCTTCAAAGATTGATTCTCATATTTCAGGGTCAACTGTTACGAAGTAGTAAATGCGCAGGCGCCGTTTGGTGGTTTTAAAATGTCCGGTCTTGGAAGAGAACTGTAAGTTTAGTTAACAACATGCTTTAAAGGGTCTGTAAGGTTGAGCTAATGAATTGCTTTTTATTCCGCGATTTCATATATTTTTGTGATGTTTATTTATCAGGGTGTGCATGATGCTGTCAGTATGAAAGATGCAACATGTATATAGTTGGCTATTTGTTTAAAGTTTTGAAAATTTACATTGTCCATTTGTACCATTGAGCTACAAAATGATGATAAGTGTAATGAATAAAAAAGTACATGTATGTAAAAACTAAATGTTGCACAAAACTGGCTGTTTCTCACTATCATAGTTTACATGTGAATTTAATTCGCTGACTAGGTGTTCATAATGGTAAGGTTTCTACATTTTGGACTCACCCAGAGGTTTCCGTTAGCATGACTTTAAGTGTATCATATAAAAGTACAAGTTCAGCACAAAATTACGACATGAACAACAACAAAAGAAAAGAATGTACTTGATTACAAGTTTTATATAGATTATTTTATGTAAAATACTTCTGTTTACTTTTCAGTGGAGAGTATGGTCTTAGTCAGTATACCGAAGTTAAAAATGTAAGTTATCTCCCTTTAACTATTGTGAATATAATCAGGTTATACGTCACAATCATGTGAAATCTTTGTAAGTTCTAATGTTCCAGGAAGACATGATAGTTTGTTAGAACAAGCACACCATATTTGTATAATTTAACTTATGTACGGAACATTTTACAGATCCGTGGTCGTTATTATTCTATTTTTCATAATTTTCATTTTTTATGTTTATTTCAGGTCGTTATCAAGATCCCAGAGAAAAATTCGTAAATTCCGTACATACCCAGGATGAATTATGTCTGAATATACGTATGATAGACTGAAGTTGTTACACGAACATATGTTTCTTTTGGTGCTTCAATTGTTATGTATATTATTGTTAGGACGATAACGGCATTGTAATCCTGAGAAGAGCATTAGTCTCATCTCCACACGCTAGACTATTTTCATCACTTTACCGTGTATAATTACTTTTGTTAATAATTTTGTGCTATGTTGGACCATAAGTATCACAGTGTATATACAACACTTGTATTTTAGCTTGGATTGTTTGTACAAGTATTACAGAAGGGGACGACACAGTACCAATCGTTAAAGTGGGATGCCAAAAAAAAAATTAAAAAAAATAAGAGAAAATAAAGAAAAAAAGATGAAATGTGTTCGTTATAGTTAATACAATTATTTAACAAATAACAGTAATACTAGTGATTTTGTCATAATTGTGATAAACATCATACAATGTGGACATACGAAGGGGAATATGACGTCATTTCAGGTATTTCCTTAATCGGAGGGAGTAATTATTTCTGTATTGATCAGTTTTATTGAGATTTAGCAAAATTGTTAGAGATTTGTTGATTCTCTTGTATTAACCATGGTATTTATAGTGTGATTACGAATACAATAAACCAAAAAGAAAACGAGTATGATTATTGCCAAGCAATTAACGTCCCTAATCAAACACAAAAAAGAAGTGTCTTTAGTTTATACAAATTAATTTTAGTTGATTGTGTTGAAAGCTATAAACTTCTAGAATACGTTCCTGTAACCAACCAGTACTTAGTAATGAATATCAAGTTTCTTGCTCAAAGAAACAACGGCTTGCCCCTATCAGGGTTTGAACCCACGCGGTCAGCAACCACTCTGCCACGCCGCCACTCATTGACTGTAGATAGACTACTTCTATAGGTTCTGTATAAGTTCTCAGAATTCAAGAAATTTATCAATTTGTTTTAGATTTCTAAGTAAAAAGGGGCGCAATTTTATCAAGATTAGGTAAATATATTAGGAATATATTGTGTATGCTAGCAGGAGAATAAATAAGGCTTATATAAATTATCGATCAAATGCTCCAATAAGTTCAAGATATTTAAGGGGGTATGTTTTTGTGAAACAAGAAAGGTCAACATGAATCACATGCCCCCAGCCCTATACTTTTTATGGGTAGTGAGAATAAGTTACCATTATTTAAGTCACATAGACAAATGATTGTATAATGGTATGTATTTATTAATAAGGAAATCAAGAATAATGCACTAACGACGCAAAACAATGGTAGTTTAATTGGAATGAATTGAACAAAGAAATATAAACAGAACCAACATGAAAACTGTTTCGGCATACAAGGTAACAGTTACCTCGACCTGTAGATGACCCATCATGATCAACCCCAAAAGCAATAAAGGCCATTTACAGCCAAAGTAAAATGCACCTATGAAGTTTGAGAGCCTAGCGCCCGTAGGTTGTTGAGTTATTGGTTGGAGATCGGTTTGGCATACCGTATGAATGTGACCTTGACCTTTGAGCTCGCGACCCCAAAATCAAATGGGGATCATCTATTGCCCAATACTATTGCTCTTAGAAAATTGAGAGCCAAGGACATGCGTCGTTCAGTTATTGTCGGAAACAGTTTTGACTTACAAGGTCAATGCAACCTTGATCTTTGAACCATTGACTGAATGATTGATTGGTTGATTTTCTTTAGACCGGGCGGTCAAAAAAAACTTCGAAAGTGCAAACACTTATTTCCAGTAGGGTCCTAACCTCAGCAGACTGTAGAGATAGCTATGAGATACAAGGAAATCCGGTAACCAGTCCCTAGCTCTTATTGAATAGATTCCTTGGTTCTTTTACATGCCAAGTGTATAGCACTGATACATGCGATGATTACCTAGGTTTCGTTCCAGTAGGATTACCTGGGTTTCGTTCCAGTAGGATTACCGTGGTTTCGTTCCAGAAGGATTACCTAGGTTCCGTTCCAGTAGGATTACCTGCGTTTCGTTCCAGTAGGATTACCTGGGTTTCGTTCCAGTAGGATTACCTGGGTTTCGTTCCAGTAGGATTACCTGGGTTTCGTTCCAGTAGGATTACCTAGGTTTCGTTCCAGTAGGATTACCTAGGTTTCGTTCCAGTAGGATTACCTGGGTTTCGTTCCAGTAGGATTACCTGGGTTTCGTTCCAGTAGGATTACCTAGGTTTCGTTCCAGTAGGATTACCTAGGTTTCGTTCCAGTAGGATTACCTAGGTTCCGTTCCAGTAGGATTACCTAGGTTTCGTTCCAGTATGATTACCTAGGTTTCGTTCCAGTAGGATTACCTAGGTTTCGTTCCAGTAGGATTACCTGGGTTTCGTTCCAGTAGGATTACCTGGGTTTCGTTCCAGTAGGATTACCTAGGTTTCGTTCCAGTAGGATTGCCTAGGTTCCGTTCCAGTAGGATTACCTGGGTTTCGTTCCAGTAGGATTACCTAGGTTTCGTTCCAGTAGGATTACCTAGGTTTCGTTCCAGTAGGATTACCTGGGTTTCGTTCCAGTAGGATTATCTGGGTTTCGTTCTAGTAGGATTACCTAGGTTTCGTTCCAGTAGGATTACCAAGGTTTCGTTCCAGTAGGATTACCTAGGTTTCGTTCCAGTAGGATTACCTGGGTTTCGTTCCAGTAGGATAACCTAGGTTTCGTTGAGTAGGATTACCTGGGTTACGTTCCAGTAGGATTACCTGGGTTTCATTGCCTAGGTTCCGTTCAAGTAGGATTACATGGGTTTCGTTCCAGTAGGATTATCTAGGTTTCGTTCCAGTAGGATTATCTGGGTTTCGTTCTAGTAGGATTACCTAGGTTTCGTTCCAGTAGGATTACCAAGGTTTCGTTCCAGTAGGATTACCTGGGTTTCGTTCCAGTAGGATTACCTGGGTTACGTTCCAGTATGATTACCTAGGTTTCGTTCTGGTAGGATTACCTGGGTTTCGTTCCAGTAGGAGTACCTGGGTTTCGTTCCAGTAGGATTACCTAGGTTTCGTTCCAGTAGGATTACCTGGGTTCCGTTCCAGGAGGATTACATGGGTTTCGTTCCAGTAGGATTACCTGGGTTTCGTTCCAGTAGGATTACCTGGGTTTCGTTCCAGTAGGATTACCTGGGTTTCGTTCCAGTAGGATTACCTAGGTTTCGTTCCAGTAGGATTACCTGGGTTTCGTTCCAGTAGGAGTACCTGGGTTTCGTTGCAGTAGGATTACCTGGGTTTCTTTCCAGTAGGATTACCTAGGTTTCGTTCCAGTAGGATTACCTAGGTTTCGTTCCAGTAGGAGTACCTGGGTTTCTTTCCAGTAGGATTACCTAGGTTTCGTTCCAGTAGGATTACCTAGGTTTCGTTCCAGTAGGAGTACCTGGGTTTCGTTCCAGTAGGATTACCTGGGTTTCGTTCCAGTAGGATTACCTGGGTTTCGTTCCAGTAGGATTACCTGGGTTTCGTTCCAGTAGGATTACCTAGGTTTCGTTCCAGTAGGATTACCTGGGGTTCGTTCCAGTAGGATTACCTGGGTTTCGTTCCAGTAGGATTACCTGGGTTTCTTTCCAGTAGGATTACCTAGGTTTCGTTCCAGTAGGATTACCTAGGTTTCGTACCAGTATTACCTGGGTTTCGTACTTGAGTCAATAGGGGTCATAAACTGGCCAAAACCAGCTATGAAGTTTGAGGGCCAAGGGCCCATTGATTGGAGAAAAATAAATTGGTCAAACAATTTTATTACAGCTTTATATTCTACGGATGAATTGTCTTCATACTTAGACGGGCAAATTATTGAAATTTGCTAAAATTGGCTATAAACTAGTTATTTATTTACGGATTTGATTCATACTTGGACAAAACAAAGAAAGAAAACTGCGTAGGATTTTTTTTTCCGAAGAATTACTAAGTACTTATTTTCAACATAGAAGATACATTGTTTGCTTCCTTCGGTTGTCGACAAGACGTATATTTTTTATTATGTTAAGTACCTTTACAACAAATTAATTCATATTCAACGCAATGTACTTCTAGTCATAAGCATCTAACTGATATTTTTTTAATTAATCATTAAAACTTAATTTGCACTTTCTAAAGTATTCAAATATTTGTTTATCAGGCAGCTCTGAGGCATAATGTGCATTAAAACCTTTTTCACTTCTGATCTGAGACCTTAGAGTTGAGAATGGGACAATATTACATGCATGGTTAAGTGGGTAACACTTCTCTCGTAAGAGAAAACAACCCGAATTGATCTTCTTTTAACTACATGTGTTTTTATGTTTTGAAAAATTAGTATACACAGTTTCCATAGATTTTCCGTTATCTTCTCTGCATTGGTTAAGAATTTTTATGGAAAAAATGCGTTGAACGTCACAGTAAAACTATACAGATGAGCTTGTCTAAAATGCGAACTAATTAAGCGGGCGACATTTATGTTGTGACACAATAAAGGCTATTTGGTACACAAAATCAAAGTCCAACCACTGTTTATTAAATAAATAATATCAAAGTACGTTAAGATAGGATTATCTTGAACAAAATTTGCCCTAGTGGCACACTTTCTGTGTTCAATATTTGTTATTATAACAAACCACCCAGGTCATAGATGTGTCAGTGTTTTCGTATCATTTGCTTATTTTATAGATAACATTAAAAACCTTTGAACGTCTTTTCATGGCGCAGTCAGCGATTGCACTTCAATTTCCATTTTGTTTGGTACGTACTTTGCAACACACTCGTTAATCACAATATCGTTTCTTTCAGTCTCAAAGTCACTGTTGAAGGTCACTACTACAGAATCTCTTAAAAGACTATGTTGTGCTCATGTGGTTTTGTATATCGTTCAGTTAATTCAGTCTAACTTTGATGATTAAGATGACCAATCATATACAGTTTTATAACGTTCTGTCAATTACCATTTGTGATCATAACAATATGTATGCACAATTGACATATGTTAAATTACGCAACGTTGTTGCATGGCCTATCGAACAAACATAGATTCCACTGCCAGCGGCGGGATTTTTTATCAATGTCCACTTGTTGAAAATGGGCGGTTTTTTTGTGTTTTACTTAAAAATAAAAATAACACACTTGTTTAAAACAACAGCTGAGACATTTATTTAATGACAGCAGTAAATCAACAAAATAAAAATAAAACTACATGCTAATTATATACTATAGATACATTTGCACTTTACGAG